CGGCCCCCTTGTGGGGCCACCAGGCTGCGAGGAGCGGGATTCGCAGTCTCCTGTACCAGTTGTAGCTTGTAGTTTCCAGTGTTACAATTCTGCTTATTGCTGGTTACTGTAACTAGTTGATTGACTGCGCGAGGGGGGGAGAGGCCCAAACCGGCTTTTTAGCACCCCCTGGGCGCGTTGTCTGAATTGCTGAGGGGGGGCCCGAAATCGACACCCCTCACGCAGATCCGCGGGGTCAGGGTCCCAAAACACATGGGATTTGCTACATTTCTGAAATTCGGTGCCACCCCTCACGCAGATCCGCGGGGTCAGGGTCCAAAAACTCAGGATTGCACTATCTGAAATCTGGTGGGGGGCCCCCCCCCCCCCCCCCCCCCCAAAAAAAACCCCCCCCCCCTCACGCAGATCCGCGGGGTCAGGGTCCAAAAACACAGGGGATTTGCCACATTTCTGAAATTCGGTGCCACCCCTCACGCAGATCCGCGGGGTCAGGGTCCAAAAACACAGGGGATTTGCCACATTTCTGAAATTCGGTACCACCCCTCAAGTAGATCCGCGGGGTCAGGGTTCAAAAACACAAGGGATTTGCAACATTTCTGAAATTCGGTGTCACCCCTCACGCAGACCGGCAGGGTCAGGGTCCAAAAACACAGGGGATTTGCCACATTTCTGAAATTCGGTGCCACCCCTCACGCACATCCATCGCAAGGCGTGGTAACCCAAACTGCGAGTACTCCCTCGGCCCTTTAATCCCAAGGTGTGGTAACCAAGCTCGTAAACCATACACGTCTTACCAATCGCCCTGTGTGGTAACCCCTCTTGTGATCAGTTGGTCGTGCCGATTGCGAATCGGCCTCGCATGAAGTTCCGATACTGCTGCACGACAGCGCCAAAGCCTCATGACTTAGCTCTTCCATGGCCCATTCTCCGAGAGAGGGGGCCGGCGGCAGGGGGCGAAGCCCTTACGGATAATCTGTGTATGCTCTTAGTGGGCCTTCCGAACATCGCAGGCAGGTGATTTCCCATTGCTGTCCGGGGCCCGCTGTTTCATCACTACGGCTGCGCAGTGGCTTTGATCAGACTACGACGCAGTGCCTCTGATGCGTCCCACAGTAGCTTTTGCAGATTGGCAGCGCGCGCGTGGGGAAGCTGATCCCGTGCCGCCGATTGGCATGGCAATACTTGCAGTCTGGCCGTCTCAAATCTCTTTCGAGATCACGGCAAACGCTTAAGCCAGACACGCACCGCGTGGTTCCCAGCTGATTTGCGTCAAGCCTATACATGACATGGCAAAGGGCCACGTCATTTTCCAAGCTGCCATTGGGGCCTACGATGTGGCCGACAACGTTCGTGACGACAGCGCCATGAGCGTGGCCGTTGACAAGCACGCTGTGGCTAGCACACGTTTCATGCTTTGCGAGGTCCTGTGCGAATAATGTGTTGGCCAGCTTGTTTTCACAGGATGCTTCCCAACGATCGCATCACTTCGACGTTTCAAGACCAGACGGCGGCCGTGAACATTCCTGTTGACGCCCATCATCGAACGCGCTTTCGCATTTTGCTACGCCGCTGTGAGCGCTCCTAATGGCAACGCTGTGCTCAAACGCAGTGGCCCCCAATCTAGGCACAAAAGCCTCGGCCACGAGAAACTTCCCGACATGCTCGATGGCCATCGGGGACTCGAGGCCGACGTCTGAGCGCGAACACGGCTGTATCGAGGGGGCCGCGCCTGGCCTGGCAGTCTGCGGCGAACTGGGCTGTGGACTCGGGCCTAACAAGGTCGAGAGCACTCGGCCAACGGGCACGTAGATGGGTTTGCTTTCCACCACCACCACCACCATAAGTTGGAGGGGGAGGGGGTCCTCTTCCTCCTCCTCCTCCTCTTCCACCTCCTCCTCCCCCTCCTCCTCTTCCTCCTCCTCCCCTCTTCGTCCTCCTCTTCCTCGTCCTCCTCCTCCTTCTCCTCTTCTCCCTCCTCCTCCACTTCCTCCCCCATCCAACTTCTGGTGGCGGTGGTGGAAAACAGGTCCATCACACGTGGAAGGATCTCATTGCCGGCGATGGCGCATGTTTTCGTGCTGGGGCAACCCAAGACAACGGTGGCGCCATGCATGGCCACCCGCGCAGCCGTCCGGAAGCCCTCGGCGCTGTTGGCACCGGTGGCGACTAGAACCTGGTCGTCGGGATTCGGTTTGGCCACGGCAGCGGGTCGTCTTGGCACCGGTGTGATCCAGGGAGTCTCGCCGCGCAAAGCGGGGACCGCGCGCAGGAGGATCCCATGCGCACTGGCAAGCTGGAGTGGATCGCGCCGACCAAGACCGCCAACACGATCGCACAAGCGGCGCAACAACTCCCACACGGGTGCATTGCCCGTTGTTCGACGTCGCAGGCACCGCGGTATGCTGAAGACATCTGTGAACGCGAAAGCACCCCAGTGCGACCCTACATGGAAGCCGGGGCCCCTAGGAAAGCAGCGTGAGTTGCGATGCTATGCAACGCTGCGCTTTGCCATGGCATGCTGCACTATGCTATGCTACGTTATGTCTTGGTATGCTATGCTATGATATGCCATGCAGTGATGCGCTATGCTATGCTATGTTATGCTATGATATGGTTTGCTATGCTACGCTATGCCGTCCTATGCTTAGCTGTGCTATGTCATGCTGCGCTGCGTCGCGCTAAGCTATGCGATGATATGCTACGCTAAGCTGCGCTACGCCCTGCTTTGCCATGCTATGCTATGCTACGCTATGCTATGCTATGCTGCGCTATGCTATGCTGCGCTGTCCTGCGCTGCGCTATGATATGATCTCCTACGCTACGCTGCGTTGCGCCATGCTATGCTGGGTTGTGCTATAATGTGCCGCGCTGCGCTATGCTATGCTACGCTATGCTATGCTGCGCTCTGCTAAAGCTCAGCGAAGCTAAGATGAAGCTAAGCTAAGCTAAGATGAGACTAGCGACGCTTAGCTAAGGGGACGTAACTGGGGGAACCGCCGGGCGGATACTGGGGGAACCGCCCGGGGCGTTTTCCACTGCCCGGCCCCTTAAAGCCCAGAGAGCAAGAACCCTTCTAGGCAGAGCCTAGGTAGGGAATTAAAGTAAAAAGAACGAACGCCCAAAAGCCATCCTCGACAGCCGTGTACATCTTGCTGCCTTCAACCCGCTGATCGTCGTTCCGCTTGGACGCGACGTCGCCCACATCGATGGCCACAACAGGCCGGGTGGGCTGTGCAGCATCACCTGGTGCCGAGGCGGGCTGTGCAGCACCGCTGAACGCCTCACTCCGCCAACCTCGGGACATGAGCGTGGGTGGCTGTGTGGCAGGGCCTCCAGACTTGAGCCGAAATGGTTACGGAAGGCACTGCTTGCGGGGGCTCCGGTCTGGCCATCGAGGCTAGCTCGGCATCTGTCGCACATTGTTTTTGCTTTGCCTTTTCTTTGCTTTGCTTTTGCTTTTGCTTTGCTTTGCTTTGCGTTGATTGTGCTTTGCTTTGCTGTCGCTTCTGTTGCTTTGCCTTTGCTTTGCTGCTATGCTATGCCATGTTCTGCTATGCTATGCTATGCTATGCTATGCTATACTATGCTGCGCTGCGCTGCGCTGCGCTGTGCTGTGCTGCGCTATGCTATGTTATGCTATGCTGCGCTATGCTATGCTATGATGGGCTGTGCTATGATATGCTGTGCTATGATATGCTATGTTATGCTATGCTGTGCTCTGCTATGCTAAAGCTCAGCGAAGCTAAGATGAAGGTAAGCTAAGCTAAGATAAGCCTGAGCTAAGATGAAGCTAAGCTAAGCTAAGATGAAATAAGCTAAGCTAACGCCAAGCTAAGGGGACGTAACTGGGGGGACCGCGGGGCGGATACTGGGGGAACCGCCCGGGGCGGTGTGCACTGCCCGGCCCCTTTAAGAAAGAGAGTAAGAACCCTCTAGGCAGAGCCTAGGTAGGGAATTGCTTGAGTTGACACGGTTCGAGCCAAAATGGCGACGGTACTATCGATGTCTGTCTTCAGATCTGTTCTAGAAGTCAGTTGACGGCGTGGCGTCGTGACGCCTGGACGGCGTGCAGCCTCCCTGGTAGGGCTCTGCAAGGCGAGATGCTCAGGAAGACTCGAGGATGAGCTGGGCCGTGCGGTCGCGGTGTACGGGGCTGGCGAGGCTGGCTACTAAGGGACCGCCCGACGAGTAGTTTGGCCTGGCGCCCACTGCATGCTGAGACGCCGGGGAATGGTTCTGTCAAAAAAATCGCTACCGCAGATCAAATGGAAGAAATGGAAGACAAACCACTCAAAATGGTCCCTCGGGGCGACCCGCCTTGGGACAACAAGGGCGGCACAAGGATGAGATTATCCCAAATCTAACAGCCCCGACCTGTCGGGTGGGAACGACAGCGCCGCCGCCGCCGCCGTGGACGTTGTGTGTCGCCGTCGTCATCGCCGCCGCGGTCGCCGCCGCGGCCGCCGTCGATGTCGTCGTCGCCGCCGCGGTCGCCAGCAGCGGTCGTCGTCGCTGCCGCCGTCGACGTCGCCGAGGTCGCCGCCGCGGCCGGCGTCGGTGCTTGGACGCCCGAATGATCTGGGATAGCTGCGGTCTGGGGCAAGTCCGGCTTGGGCCCCCGAGGCGCCAACTTTCGCTACCCCTGACCACCCCCGGCCCTGATGATTCGGAGCTCTGCGCTGTCGTCGTCGCCGCCGCGGCCGCCCGCAGCGGTCGTCGCCGCCGCCGTGCCGCCGCCGTGCCGCCGCCGTGCCGCCGCGGGCGCCGTCGGCGTCGGCGGCGGCCGCGGGCCCTCCTGGGAGCCGGGGAAGCCGCCCATGGCGGGGGCGGCCAGCTGGCCCGCGTCGGGCGCGCCGCCCGGGGCGCCCAGGCCTCGGTCGGTCGAGGGGCGGTCGTGGTCGCGGGCGGCCGTGGGCGGCGTGGGCCGTGGACGTGAGGGTGGGCGTGAAATCCTCGTCGACCGTGGTTTATTATCGAGGAATGAAAACCTAGGTTCGTTATCATCAGATGATACCCTATGGATTATTCTCCTGTGAATGGATCGGGCTCAGGCCCCCCTCCTGGCCGAATCATTATCTTTCTGGAATAAAAATTGAATATTCCAACATTATGAACCAGGGTGAATATCAGTCCGGAACGTACTCTCAAACGGCGCCCCCCAGGCTCAATCACTTTCCAAAATAATTACCCGAAATCCATATTCCAGAAACATTATGAATCCGGGTTAATTACCTCCTGGAAAGAATAAGCCGGGGTCCATATTGCGACATGAAAACTTGGTGGGGAACCCAGGGGGTGGGGGGGAATTAATAATTATTATCATTCTGGAAGAACGAGAACCTAGTTCATCATTCCGGGGACATCATAAACCCCAGTCAATATTCCCAGAACATTATGAAGCCAAATTGATATGTTTTTTGGGCCGATATTTCCAGAACGTTATAAACCAGGGTTTATAATGTTCCAGGGGGAACATTATGAACCCCAATCAATATTCCCAGAACGTTGAAACCCAGGTTCAGAATGTTCCGGGCGAGACATTATGAACCCTGGTCAATAATCCCAGAACATTATGAACCCACGTTAATATCTTTTTGAGGTCCATCCTGGTGGACGTCGTGGGTCGTCGTCGCGGTGGTGGTCGCGGCCGTCGTCGTGGCGTGCCCGTCGTTGACGTGGTCGTCGTCGTGGCCGTGGTGGCCGTAGGCGGGTGGGTCGCGGTGGAGGTGCTCATCGATGTCGCAGTCGTCCTGGTCGTCGTCGTGGTCGCCACCATGGGCGTCGTGGACGTCGTCGTCGCTGCGGCCGTCGTTGTATTCGTCGTGGTCGTCGTGGTCGTGGTGGTGGTCGTGGTTGCCGCGGCCGACCTCAACGGAAGGGGATGGGGAAGGGATGGAGAAGGGGGGTCGAGCGAGTGAGGGGAGAGAGGAGCAGGGGCGTGAGGAAGGACACCTCCAGGTGCCCCAGACACTGAGCACACACGACAATTGACACAATATCCTCCTGCTCCTCGCAACCACCACCTGCCATGACCAGGATCAAACGCATGCCTAGGACGTCGTGCTTTTGCTGGTGGCTCCCGTGCTTCGCTTCCGGGCACCGGTTCTTCCTGTGCGATACCTTGCTGTTCGATGGTTCCAGGGCCCGATGGCAAGGAGCAGTGAATCGACGTGTCAGGTATTGGAGGTCGGGGGACCTCCTCCTCGTCCGCATCATCCCCGCTCCTCGTCGGCGCGCGCTCGGGGTCGGCGCCAGCCAGACGGCCATGCTGGACGGCCAATCGACGACGTCTTCGCCCTCGTCTCGGAGGTGCCTGGGCGCTTCTGAGGCTCCCCATCGCCGCGGCTGGGCGCAGCTGGGAGCCGGGAGCGCTGGTCAGGACGGACCCCGCGAGGGCTCTGGGGACATCGCTGGAGCGCGCCGTGGCCAGCCAGACGCAGGGCGAAGGCCAAGGCCAGGCGTCAAGCTCCCACGCGTCGCCGCACGGGGGGCATCGGGGATTTTCTGACCCGGGTCAATCCAGACCCGGGTCAGCAGGAAACCAAAAACTGCAGTGCAAGAAAAAAACTGCAACGAAGGTCTTCGCAAACCCGGGTCAGCCAATATGTGCGGCCGCCTCGCGGCCACGAACTGCTCGCTAACCCGGGTCAGCCAGAGGGGGTCTTCGCAGGATCCTGCAAGATCCGGTGCCGTGGCTGACCCCCGTTTGCATTGACCCCCGTCTCAAGGCTCCCGAGGGCCCCGCCCCTGCAGGCCGCCGGAGACGCCTCGGGGGATGAAGTCGCACGTGCGGGGACAGGAAGCGCGCCCCCTCCCCTCGGGATCTGGCTCACCAGCTGACGTTGCCCCCCCCTCGGGGAGGCGTGGGACTCGGGCTTGGGGGCTCGAGCTCGTCTGGAGGGAGCGTCGGCGGAATGCCGTGCCGCAGTCCGAAGTCTGACGCGGGCTGCAAGCATTTCACGACAGCCAGACCGTCACAATTGACGCTGGGACCGTCAAAAGGCGGCGGCCAACCCGAGCTCAAGCAATCTCGAGCCTTATACCCTGACCATGCGGTGCCCCTCTCCGCGTTCTGAATCCGAGATTCCACGTCGTGGAAGCTTGGCGGCGTGCGCAAGGGGGTCGGAGGAGGGAGGAGGGCTTCTCAGAGGGCTTCTCCCTGGGAGGAGGCTGCTTCTTAGAAGGCGCCTGCCCTGTACGTATCTACAAATGGCCCGCACCTTCCAAGAAGCAGCCTCCTTCTAAAAAGACCCCCTCCCGCCCCCATGCCCCACCCTGCGCGTGGCAGATGCACTCCGACAAATGCGGTGCCCCGCTCCGAGGTCCGAGCTCGAGACTCCACGTCGTGGACGCATCACCGCCTCGTCCCAACGGCCAGAGTCCCTGGGCAGCCGATCCCTCCGCGGCACTCCCCGGGCCGGGAGGGGCCCGTGGGCTCCGCAGCGACCCATGAGCCCGGGCGCGAACTGCCGCCCCGCCCCGATCCTCCCCCCGCGGCGCCTGGAGGAGGGCGGTCTGGGGACGACGACGTCGACGGCGACGACTGCAGCGGCGGCGAGGACGATCGACTCCAGCCCCGCATCTTCTGCGCGGGGCCTCGAGGTCTGGGCCTGGGGGCGGCGACGCCTACCATTTGGGCGCCCGAGATGGGTACCGAAAGAATGGGTATAGTGCCCAACAGCAAATGCTGCCCCAGACCAACAGCGGCCGCTGCTGGGCAGGCGGCCTTCTGTCTCGAATGGACACAGGCCGCGGCGGCGTGGACAACAAGTCCTGTTCAAAATGAACAAGAACTGCTGTTGGGCATTGTACCCATTCTTTCCGTGCCCAGTTCGTTCGTGCAGACTCCATGGCGACGACGACGACGACCGATCCCAGGAGCTCTCCTGGAGCCGGGAAGACGCAGAGACATCCGCACCGCTGCTGCACGGACCTCTCCTGGAGACGTTCTGACCAGGAGTAGGGGAACAAAAAGTGACATAAGCATGAAAACTCGGAGGTCTGCGCGGACTTCTCGGATCCGCGCTGGACCCCCCTCCCTGGCGCGCGGAGCGCGCCAAGGGCGACGCCGGAGGCGCCGCCGGGGGGCCCCAGCGCCGATCCGAGAAATCCGCGCAGACCTCCGAGTTTCTAGGTTTATGCCACTTCTTGTTCCCCTAAGGATTTCGAGGCGACTCCCGCCGTGGCGACGAGGGATCAGGGTATAGCGGCACCGGTACCGGCCCCCCCCTCCGAAGGGAGCGCGTTCCGCCCAGCAGCGCTGCAACGAGAGCACGCTAAGCACAGCGCCCATGGGCGGAAGGCCGGGCGCCATGCCCATGCCGCCGGCCGCCATGCCCATGCCGCCCAGCGCCGGCATGGACATCCCCGCCGCCACGCCGGGCATGCCGGGCATGCCGGGCATGCCGGCCATGCCCTGCGCTATCTGACCTGGCGGCCACTCTTGGGAGGAGGAGGGCGCCAGCTTCCCGTCGGGGCCCCGTGGCCCCGAGTCATGGGCACTGCGGCGGCGCGACCCGCCGATCCCCTCTGCTCTGGCCACGTGCGGCAGGCCTGGGGGCTCCCAGAAAGTCGACGTCGCGATCTTGTCGGCAGGCGGCCCCGCAGGCCCGAGCCCTGTCCCGGGGGCAGAACTCTCCACCCCGAGCCGTGCCATTCGACGCTCCTGGCCGGGGCCTGGCAGGGACTCCCGCAGGCAGACACTTTCTGCGGAGCCTTCCAGGGTGGGGCCAGAAAGAGTGTTCTGATAGCAATCCTACAGCTAAGGACCTGAGAATTTGACAGGCCGACACGCCATAACCTACTACAAGTGCCAAAATACTGGAGTTGTGTAGCTTGCTTCCTGCTTGAGTTCAGGGCCGACAGCGGTGACAAGCCTCCGCCTTCGTTTTCCCAGCCATCCCGTGGTGTTGGGCCCTCGTCTTGCAGAGGCGGGTGCCCCGCCCCTCCTCGCCTCCTTCCTACTCCCGCTCCTCTCCCTTCCTTGCCTCTGCCCTCCGCACGCCCCCTTGTCTCGGCACGGCCCTCACACGCCGCACGGCCCCGTGCGGAGCTCCACAGGAGGCCAACGTGGCCATGCTCGCACGTGGCCGCCCCCGCCCATTTCGGCACAGCCCTCAACCCAGGGCCCCAGTGGTGTCGTTAACATGTAGGCGTTACGTCCGTCTCGGCACGCCCCTCCCGCGCTCCATGGCCCCATAATGAGGGAGTTCCAACTGAGGCCAAAGTGGCCATGTTCACGTGAGGCCGCCCCGCCCAGTTCAGCACACCCCTCACACGTTCTATGACACCAGAGGGAGCTTCACCTAAAGCCCCAATGGCGTCCTTCGCGTGCGGCCACCCCACCCGTTTCGGCACACCCCTCCCACGTTCCGTGGCCCCATATGGGGGCTCCAGCTAAGAACCTCAGTGGCCATGTTCACATGTGGCCACCCCGCCCAATTCGGCACAACCGTCACACGTTTCATGGCCTCAGCCTTAGAAAAGCTCCGCCTGAGGCTCCTGTGGCCGTGTTCGCATGTGACCACCAGCCCCATTTCGGCACAACCCTCACGTGCTCCATGGCCCCATATGGGGGCTCTACCTAAAGCCGAAAAGGCCATGTTCGCATGTGGCTGCCCCACCGATTTCGGTACACCCGTCACACGTTTGATGGCGCCAGAGGGAGCTCCGACTAATGCCCCAATGGCGTCGTTCGTATGTGGGCGTCACGTCCGTTTCGGCACACCCATTCCGCGTTTCGTGGCCCTATGGGGGCTCCACCAGATGCCCCAATGGTGATGTTCGTATATGGTGGTCACGCCCGTTTCGGCACACACACACACACACACACGCACACGCACACACGCACACACTTCACATGTTTGGTGGCCCCATGCGGAGCTCCACCAGAGGCCCCAGTGGCGACGTTCGCATGGCGGGCCCGCCCCATTTCGGCACCCCGCCATACGTTTTGTGGCACCTTCTGGGGCTCTACCCCAGGCCCCAGTGGCAGCGCCCGCATGGTGACTTCGCCTCATTTCGGCACAACCTTCACACGCTTCTTGGCCCAATAAGGAACTCCATTGAAGGCGAAACCTGCAACGACGGCACTCACGACTGCAAAAGGTCGGGTTCTTCGCCAGGCTTATTGTTCAATACGTTGAAGTCTGGGGGCACGGATGGTTCAGGAAAAGACGAGAGGAGGAGGCGGAGGAGGAGGAGGATGAGAAGGAGGAGGAGAAGGAGAAGGAGGAGAAGGAGCGCCTCGTGGGCGCGCGTCTCCTGGACCATCGATCCCCCTCCTCCCCCTCGGTCGTTCCCCCCTCCCTGCTCGAACCTCGATCCTGTAGCCTCGATCCTCGATCGCTCGTGCTGCACCTTCGGGGGACGTTGTCTGCCCCACCGCCTCGGAGTCCGCGCTGGCTCCGAGGCATGAGCGTCGAATCCACGAGGCATGAGCGTCGAATCCACGGCGAACCAACGGCGGAGACACGAACACGCAACAACATACAGTCAAAACGTATAGTTAGTAAGGACGCGAGGTAGGGACGCAAGACCCTTGGAGGCCGAAGTTGGATTTCTGGGGGCGGGGGGCGGCCAGTGAAAACGGCGAAGGACGGGCCGCAGAGGCAAGGACTCAAGGGCACCCTAGAGGAAGGCGCGCGTCCTTACTAGGCGCGTCGACTGTACTCCAGGTAACCAGTGCGCGCTGCGCGGATGCTTCCGGGCCCTCGCGCCGCCGCCCGGGAGAAGGAGACGGGCGCCTCTCCCACCGAACGCCGCGGGGTGCGAAGCAGCGACTGTCTTCGCGCCCCAGGGGGCTGACAGACAGGCCTCGGAACAAACTAGCAAACACACGCCACATTTATCCGTCAACGCCTCCCCGTCCCCCCAGTGTTCGAAGTTGGCGGTGGGTCTGATGAGATGCACTTCGGCCGCAGTCTCCCCCGCGCGTGCCAACATTGAGTTTGGGGGGGAAGGGGAGTGTTCAGTAATTGTTTCCCTCTACAGGAGCTCGCCGGTCAGACAGAAAGTTCCCCGAGCCGGCTGTTGCCAAAAGTGCCCCCGGCCCAAGGTGCCCCCAGCTTGTCGCTCGATTCTGAAGCCCCCGGGGCCCTCTGAGCCTCCTGGGGGGTGCTCTGGAGGCCGTGGGGGCCTCCTTCGAAATCCTGGGGGCACCTTGGGCCAGGGGCACTTCTAGCAACACCCGACTGAGGATGCAATGTAAGATCTATCGGGGATGGACAGAACCTCAAACGTGGTTTAGCGCGAACGACCTCGGGCCCATGCCTGGCGGGCGCAGGCCTGGAAAATGACGGACCGCGGGGCCCTCTCGAGAACCGACAACGGACATTTCACTAATCGACGCGTCAGGGTGGGGGTTCTGCCCACCGCCGAATCTACGACGAATGCAGGATGAGGACAAAATCGGGGGATGGCAAATCGAGAATCTCTGAGATCCGGCGCCTCTGGGGGATGTCTCGGGCGCCGCGGCCTCCTCAGAGCGTTCGGAACATTCTAAGAGCGTTCCAGAACGCCCAGGAAGGGACTTCTCCTCGTCCTAGCCTTCGGTCGGGCATGTCCTCCTACCGTCGGATCTTGGAAGAAACATAACAAATAGCAAACACAGCCTCAAACATAGTCAACCATAGTCAGAAGATCGTCCCCAACTATTTGTTTGAACCTATGTTTGACTATTCCTTCTGTAGAGAGGGACATGCCCCATTCACGTAGTCCTGGCCCCGTCCGAAGATCCCCCTCTTCCTCGGTCACTCGACCCCTCGCGACGACCGACGACCACGCGACCGACATGGAAGAAAAAACGCCATAAACATAAACTGTTGGCGCTCCGCGCGGGTTTCTTGGATCTGCGCTGGACCCCCCTTCCTGGCGCGCGGAGCGCGCCAGGGGCGGCGCCAGAGGCGCCGCTGGGGGGCCCCAGCGCGGATCCAAGAAATCCGTGCGAAGCGCCAAAAGTTTATGTCTATAGTTGTTTTTCTTCGACGACAGGTGGCGGGGGAGACCGCCCGCAACGGCCGCTGCAGGAGCGGCGGCGGCGATGCTGGTCGGCGGGCCCGGGGCATCCCCCGCCGGGGGCTCCGCTGTGACGTCGGGGAGGCGTCAAGGCTCGAGCTTCTTCGAATGCCAAGGACCAGTCAGCAGCGACTCGGAACATCCAATCAAATCGACAAATCTTCGTCGGGATCTTCCTCCTCCTCCTCCTCCTCCTTCTACTCTCCTCCTGCTCCTCCTCCTCCTCCTCCTCCTCCTCGTCCTCCTCCTCCTCCTCCTCCTCCCCCTCCTCCCCTTCCTCCCATTCCTCCTCCTCCTCCTCCTCCGCCTCCTCCTCATTCTCCTCCTGCTCCCACGTCATCCTCTCGCTTTCATCTACGTCACCATCCCCCTGGACGCCCCCCAAAACCACAGGAAACAATCTGCACTTAGGGGGGTCGGCGGATGTGGCCCAAGCCTGAAGACTCGAATCGACAAGTCTCCGTCGGGCTCGGGCTGCCTCGGCACGGAGACGGAACTGTCTCGGCTGCGCCAGGCGGCGCCATGCAATCATCGGACCGAATCGCATCGCCGAAATATCGGAATCGACTTGAGTCGGGCTGGCCAGAGCCGACACAGAACAGCCCGGCTCGATCGGGTCGAGCTGGACCCTGAGGTCTGGGGCCGTGACCAAGCCCGAGGCGGGGATCTATGCACAACCGCCGCCTGCGGGATAGATCCTCGGGGACCTCGACAGGCGGTGGACGTGGATGTGCAGTGGAGGCCAGTCCACAAGAAGCCATCCACAAGAAACCCAGCCCTGAGACACCAGGACGTCCACTGGTTCTTGGTGTGGGAACCTCGCGCTCTCCATCGCAAAACCATCGAACCCCAATTAGCCCAGGGTACAGTCATCGGCCTGACCTAAGGAACGATAAATAAGAAACGAAGTCCCTTTTTTATCCCAAGGAATAACGCATAAGGGGCGATAAATAATACATCACGCATAAGGAACTGTAAATAACGCATGCAAGCCGAAGGAACGGCCGAGCCCCTTTTGAAAAGTAAATGTTCCTTATTCAAGCCGCTCGCTGAACCCTGGAGGCAAGCAAGGTGCTTCTTGGCACGGGCCCCCCCTGCAAGCCGGCCCCCTTGGGGGGGCCAACATGCATTCGCCTCCGCTGCCTGCCGAGGCCCCGGACGACCGAGCCAACAGGCGGTGCTCGTGGACGTAAGCCCTCGCCCTGGCCATCGCTCGGACGTCCATTCCCTGTGTTTTTTTCGGTTTCGTGTGTGTGTGTGTGTGGCTTTTTCGGCAAATGATCAAGGATGCTCCTCGATGGCCCTCGCCGAAGGAAAAATGCACACGTCTGAGCGATGCCAGGCGCCTCGCAGCAAACCTGCGACGCGGGATGCCTGGAGCCTGGCCGTGAAGACTGTAGGGCAGGTTAGTGCGGCGTCTGCGCGCGCAAAGGTTTTTGACAACGCGTCGATCGTTCAATCTTGAAGCGATTGCGGCCCCGATTGTTCAGGGTTGAATCCAGTCGGGTCCAGTGGCATTGCCGTGCCCATCGGTGCTTCCACGTCGCAGAATTCAACTTTAAACGCCTTCGCTGGCGTCGTCAGCGCGTCAACGCCGCGCGAACCTACCGTAGGCAACATAACTTCGCGCCCGCTGGAGGAAAAATAAAACAAACATCAAACAATGATAGACCATCGTCCTCATCTCCGCCGGCCCCCTTGTGGGGCCACCAGGCTGTAGGCTGAGGATTTGCTGTTCCCTGCGCCAGTTCCAGTTTCCAGTTTCCACTGTTACAGTTCTGCATCGTGTTGCTTACTGTTCCTTGTTGTAGACCGCGCGAGGGGGGGGAGCCGAAAACCACCCTGGTTAGCACCTCCCGGGAGGGGTCTCGAAATTTCCGAGGGGGATCGAACAATTATAACCCCTCACCAGATCGGCGGGGTCAGGGTCCGAGCACTAAGGATTTGCCACATTTCTGAAATTTGGCGGCACCCCTCACGCAGATCGGCGGGGTCAGGGTCGAAAAACCAATGGGATTTGCCACATTTCTGAAATTCGGCGGCACCCCTCACGCAGATCGGCGGGGTCAGGGTCGAAAAACCTGTGGGATTCGCCACATTTCTGAAATTCAGTGGGAAACCTCAGTGCACAGCATTCGGGGGCAGGGTCAAAATGCAACACTGAGCTCAACAATATCCTCAGAATCTAAACTTCTCTTGCCGATGCTGCTTCCCGGCGGCGCCGAGGCCTCCTGACTTAGCTCCTGCGCAGCCCATGATCCGAGAGAGGGCGCTGGGATGCAAGGGGCGAAGCCCTCACGGAGTATTTGTCGACTCTTTGAGAATCTTCCTCCTGTAGAAGGACAGGCCCGACAAAAGGCTGGACCCCCCTTACCAGCCTGGAACATATCCCTATGCTGGGCAACTCCTCATCACGATGCCGATCTTAGGGATTTCCTTATGTTTTGAGGGCGAATCCCTAAGATTGTCATCGCCTTTTGGCGTGTCAACCTTAGGGATAGGGATACGTTCGAGGCTGGTAATCCCCTCGCGCCCCCGCGCCCCGCCCGGCCCCCTCCGAGAGCGGGGCAGCCCTCCGGCCCAGGACGCGAAGGAGGCGCGGAGCGCGCGACCCACCCCTCCGAGCCCCCGCGGGCGGCCCGGGGAGCCAGGGAGGGAGAGAGGACTGCAGCGTCGTCGGGAGGGCTGTCGGCTCGCGGGGGGGGGAGGCGATGGGGGGGGGGCGAGGTGGGCGTCGTCGGCTGGGATGTCTGCTCGGGGGGGGGGGAGGGGGGGGGGGGCGAGGTGGGCGAGGAACGAGGCGCGACGCGAGGGGGGGGGAGCCGAGGGGGGGGGGCGAGGGGGGCGAGGAGGTAGTCGTAGCCTCCGGCACCCTCTCGAGAGGTCGCGAGGTGGCGGAGGGGTCGGCTTTGCGGGGCCCTCGGCTGGGCAGGAGGACGGGGGCCCAGCTCGGCTGTCTGCGGTGGGGGGCGCCCGTTCTCCACTGGGCGTGCGCTGTGCAGCCCTCCCCCGGGGGCGCAAGTCCCCCAAACTCCCGCGCCCTGGTTCTCCCGGGGCGCCTCGGGTTTGCCAGGAGCGGTCAGCATCGAGGTGAGAAAGCTGGATCGGGTCGCAGCGTGCGCCGCATCGGGCCACCTCGCCACGGGGTCTGCATCGAATCGGATCGGCCGCGCCAGGATGCACAGCAACGCCATGCAGACATCGGGCCGCACTGGATCGTCGGAATATCCGCGACGAATCCGGTCGGGACGGTCGACATCGATATCGAATCGGATTGAACTTGACCCTGCTTGGCTCGACGTGACCGTCACAAGAATGGCGGGCCGCAGTTTGAAATGAAAGGCGAGCTCTCGCCGCAAGCATCTTACGACATCTGAGCCGTCAAAGTTCGAGGTGCAAGTACGGCACAAACACAAACTTTCGACGGTCCGCGCGGATTTCCTGGATCTGAGCTGGATCGCGCCAGGGGCGGCACCGGAGGCGCCGCCAGGGGTTCCCAGCGCAGATCCAAGGAATCCACGCGGACCGCCAACATGTATGCTCATTAGACAAGCGCGTTCCACTGCTCTCTAAGTAGCTACTCGCAAATGTCCTGGATCCGCCGCAGGGGATCTACGATATAACCCAAAGGCAGACGTATGTTTTTTTGGACGATTGAGAGAAGGCACTCTGCGAGTAGTGGAACGCGCTCGGCGACTCATGCCGCCTTCTCTTCTTCGAGAACTGTTCTCGTGCCAGGGCCGTAGGCACACTCTGCGAGTAGTGGAACGCGCTCGGCGACTCATGCCGCCTTCTACTCTGAGGAGGAGGAGGAGGAAGAGGAGGAGGAGGGCCTGGGCCGTCGACAAGCAGCGGCGAAGTAGAGAATTCTGGCAAGCTCGAGCCCTGCGCCTCCCCGACCCAGGTGGGGGCCCGCCCTCGCGCCCGGCGCAGCGCGGCGGAGCCGCTCGAGCGGGAGGAGAAGGAGGCGGCGGAGGAGGAGAACGAGGAGACGGAGGAGGAGGAGGAGGAGGAGGAGGAGGAGGAGGAGGAGGAGGAGGCGGAGGAGAAGGAGAAGGAGGAGGACGAGGAGACGGAGGAGGAGGAGGAGGAGGAGGAGAAGGGGCAGGAGGGAGGAGCCCAGCTAGCTCCTGGGAGGGGGAGGGGGAGAGGAGGCCAGCGAGGGTCGAGGCTCGAGGATCGAGGCCTCTGCGCATCTCTGGCTTCCCCTGGGCCTCCTCGCCGCCAGGGCCGGAGGCGCCTCGAAGCTCTGGTCCGAACGCGCCCCAGGAGAGGTCCGGCGACCCAGCTGGACGAAGAATCGAGGAGGGAGGATCGAGGGTCTGGGATCGGAGGCCTCGAGGAGGGAGGGTCGAGGGTCGAGGAGGGAGGGTCGAGGGGAGGGTCGAGGGGAGGGTCGAGGAAGGATCGAGGAGGGTCGAGGGGAGGGTCGAGCTGGAGAAAGGATTGGGGAGGGAGGGTCGAGGGTCCGGGATCGGAGGCCTATAGGTTTAAGTCGGGCGTGCCCCTACAGGGGGATCCTCGACGAAACATTAAAAATACATGAAAAATACTCCACAGTGGTCAAAACCTGCTCCAAAAATAGCCCCCGTCTATGGTTTGACTTTTGTTGACTACGCCCCCGGTAGAGGGAGGGACAGGCCCGACGTAAGCCCAGGCCGCCGGGAGCTCGTGGCCCTGCTCCATGGGCCTCCTGGGGGGCCCTCGTGGGCACGGCTGGGCACGAGGCGCCTCGACCGCCCGGCTGCGACGCACCCCGGGAGGGGTGCGGGGGCAGATCGTCGAGGGCGCCCCGCCTTCCGCGCTCCCCCGCGGCGCGACAGGGCCGCTCGAGGGGGCGAGGATCGAGGATCGAGGAGGAGCGAGGAGGAGCGAGGAAGAGTGAGGATCGAGGATCGAGGAGGATCGAGGAATCGAGGGGAGGGGGGATCGAGGATCGAGGAGGAGCGAGGATCGAGGCGGAGGAGGAGCGAGCAGCCTCGAGGAGGACGCGGAGGCGCGAGGGAGGGAGCAGACCCGACTGGCCTGGCGCCGGGAGGACGTCGCCGAGGAGAGTCTGGGGCAACGCTCGACCTCTCGGTGGAAAGTCGGCAAAAGCAGCACACGGAAGGGCGATCGAGGCGTGCGCAGAGGTGTCTTGGCAATGGCCCCAAACTGATCCCAAACTGCTGCCCCGCATCCCCAAAGAGAGGACGGCACACTGGACAGTGTTTTTGCCCCCCCTCGCGCGTCCTCCCTCGCGCTGCCTTGCTGCGGCACGACGGCAAAACGAGAACGGCCCACGGAGTTGCCGAGACACCGCTCAGCCCGAGCCCCGTGACGGCACGGCACGCCTCTCCGCGCCACCCGTGAATATGCCCCCCCTCCCGCTGCCCCCCGCGAGAGTGCTCTTCCCCCGCTCCCCCCAGGGCGCCCCCCTGCGGTCCCCGCTGCGCGAGCGTACCCGCTCCCCCCCCCCTCCCCTTGGCGGTGGACAAACCTCCCTTTAGTAAACCACCCTTTAGTGAAAACGGCCTAAGACCGAAACCGACGGACCTGGACCCGCGAAAATAACGGCCGCGACGCCCTCTCGCGAACCGAAAACGGCCAATTCACTAATCGACGTGTCAAGGTAGGAGGTCTATCAAACTCCGATCCTCCCGCGGCCGCTCCCCTCTCCCCTTTCGGTGCGGGCCTCGCCTCCCCCCTCCAGCATCCGGACGCCTCGCAGGTGCCGGCTTGCCCGGCTTGCCCGCGCCGCGCGTGGCGGCCTGCCTCTGCCGCGCTGCGATGCCAATCTGTGTGTGTGTGTGTGTGCCTCCGGCGATGCTCGCTCGCAATTGGCACCTCCAGCTGCTACCCACGCTTGAGGACCCTCTGCGCGCGACCTAAAAGTGTGTGTGTGTGTTCTCCGAACCTACATGGATCTTCTACCTCGGTCCGGCCGAAAGACGACCGACTGTGGGGGGAATCCCAGACTTCTTCGCTCCGCGACAGGCTCACCGCGGAGAGTTCTTGCTCCCCAGTTGTTCAGCCCCTGGGGGGCCCTCTTGTTGGGCTCAGGTCGGGCGTGTCCTCCTACAGGCGGATTTTGAAAGAAAAATTGAAAATACACCCCAACAAATAAGCAAAAATCATCAGAAATAGTCAAACCAAGTCGTCCCCAGACTGTCTTTTGACTATCTTTGAGCGCTCCTCCTGTCGAGGGGAAAAGGCCCGACTTCCTGCCGGGCCTCCGGGGCCGTCCAAGAACAAACGGCTCGAGGGCGAGCAGCCGGCCCCCTGGAGGGCGGGCGCCGAGGCCTCCGAGGACCGAGACGGGCGACGGGGAAGCAAGGATTATGTCGGGCGTCTCCCTACAGGGGGATTGTCGACGAAAAATAAAAATACCCCCAAAATGCCCCAAAGAGGTAAAAAAAAAACACCCCAAACATAGTCCCCAGACTATTTTTGGACCATTGTTTGACCATTTGCGGGGCATTAAAACAAAATCTTCGTCTAAAATCCCCCTGTAGGGGGACACGCCCGACTTAAAGCAAGGAGCGAGGCGAGGGGGGGAGAAGGAGGGGGGATCGCGGCGCGCGGCGCGAGGCGGCGGGCCGAGGAGCGCGGGCCGAGGCGGAGGGGCACCGAGGCCGGAGGATCGACGACGACGGGGGAGGGGGGGCGTCGCGGGCCCAGGAGGAGGCTCCGGGCTCGAGGCGCGAGGCCCGAGGAGATCGCCGGGGGAGCGCCCGAGAGGCTCGAGGATCACGAGGTGCGCGCGGCCTCGGGGAGCTCCCTCCTCCGCCTCTCACCCCCTCGGCCCGCCGTGCCCGGGCGTCCAGCGTCGCCACAGGACCGAGGCGGCGGCGGCGCTGCGCGGGCGTCTGGCAGCCGGTGGGGCCACTCTTCGGGCTCCGGGGCCAATGCGACCCTCGGGGACGGACAGGCCTCCATTTGGCAAAACGTGGTTCAGTGAAAACGACCTCGGGCCCAAACCTGGCGGGCGCAAGCCTGGAAAATGACGGCCGCGGCGCCCTCTCGAGAAGCGAAAACGGACAATTCACTAATCGACGTGTCAGGGTAGGAGGTCGGTCCACCCCCGAAGCCCTACACACGAGGGAAAGCCGGCACACGGGAGCAGACCGAGACATCCAGGGGCCCCGTGTGGAAGCACACACAAGACAGCGGATGTCCCGGCACGGTGGCGGCGGTGGCCTGTCTCATCTCGCCTGCCTCCTGCCGCCGACTCCGCCTGCGCCGGGGCCCGACAGAGGTGGCCTCAACGGCGGGAGACGAAATGAGGGGGTGAGGAGGGAGGGTCGAGACCAGACCCGGACCTTGAGTGATGTCGGGCACGTCCTCCTACAGGCGAACTTTGAACGAACCAAAGCAACATAGTCAAGCAAGGCGTTGTTATGATAATAGGGGCATGAAGCATCGTCACAAAACTATGTTTGGCTATTCTTGAATATTCTTCCTGTAGAGGGACATGCCCGACTTAAGACTAGAGGGATGATAATGCTATGTTCCTGATGAATGGTCCTTCGGGGTGGTTCTCGTTCGAACGATTGAGGTTATGGGGTGCGAGGTTCGAACGATTGCGGTTCGAGGTTATGGGGTGTGTTTGGCGCGGGCTCCCCTGTTTCCTTGTGAGACTCTGCGAGGCCAAATGAGGCTTGCGTATAATGTATAATGTACGGCGGGCGTATGTGGTCCCTAGACGTTCGTAAGAACATGCGAGGAGTTTGAGGCATGGCTGCACAATCCGAGTGTTGGGCATGGTACTTCTGAGCCTGCCCCAACGGTTTTAGAGATAAGGGGCCTTTAAGCATAAAAAAGGGGAACCCACTATGCGGCCCTTTGGGGGCCTTCCGAGGCGCCCTCGTAGCTGCAACATGATGCGTCTCAACGCGCTCCCGGAGGGTCTGACAATGGACTGTTGAGGGTAGGAAAAAAAGGAGCCATAGAAGAGGATGTGGGCGTCCCCGCCCTCTCCCTCGCAGGGGGAGACGGAGGAAGGATCCGCAGCAAGAGGGGGGCCGGATAGTGGAAGGAGGTCTCATGCGGCTGCTAAAGTTTATGAATCATTCTGGACATGGAGGATGATAAGGAGGAGACGGAGGAGGGATGAGAGGCATCCTACAAAATTCTTCATGCAAAGGTGTCCTGAAGATTTTGAAGTCCCTGTGTAGAGGCTTCGAAAGGGGTTCGACGACGAAGAACCGCAGGTGCGGCGCCTGAGGTGGTGGAAGCCCGACAGTTCTCTGCGGGAGCTCCCTGCGAGAATTCTCCAGGGAGAGGGAGGGGGCAGGGGTGGAGGAGGGATGACCCGCATCGGCAAGGAGACCCCAAACCGACCCCCCGGACCCATCTTGGGGTGCGCCCGGGCCAGGACCTCCCGATGCGCAGCCGGCCGCGGCGCTGGGGGAGCCTCCCCAGGGCGGAACACCCGGGGAAGCGCGGCCGGAACGCCCTGGGAATCCTCGACGAAGAATACAGGGGAACGAAAAGTGGCATAAACATCAAAACTCGGAGGTCCGCGCAAATTTCTCGCATCGGCGCTGGGGCCCCCTCTGGCGGCGCCTCCGGTATAGATCACCGGGGGCCTTGGCTACCCTAGGCCCTACCCAAGGCCCTAGGCTTCCCAAGGGTAGGCCCTACCCAAGGCCCTAGGCTTCCCAAGGGTAGGCCCTACCCAAGGCCCTAGGCTTCCCAAGGGTAGGCCCTACCCAAGGCCCTAGGCTTCCCAAGGGTAGGCCCTACCCAAGGCCCTAGGCTTCCCAAGGGTAGGCCCTACCCAAGGCCCTAGGCTTCCCAAGGGTAGGCCCTACCCAAGGCCCTAGGCTTCCCAAGGGGTAGCCCTAGGGTAGCCCTAGGGGTGGGCCCCAGGGGTAGCCGGACCCCTTTGTAGCGGGAATCCGAGCCGGCAGCATCCCTCCTCCCTCCTCCCTCCGCACGCCTCCTCCCTCCTCCCTCCTCACTCCGTCCGCCCGCCTCCTCCCTCCCCCCTGCTCCCGCCGCCTCCTCCTCCTCCGCCGCCACCTCCTCCTCCTCCTCCTCCTCCTCCTCCTCCTCCACCTCCTCCTCCTCCCTCGCTACTCCCTCGATCCCCTGCTTCCCCCCCCCCGCTCCCCCTTCCGAGGGCAGGGCGCCCGCGCCGCCCCCCGGCGACCGCGGCCCCGGCGCCGCAGACCCCCCCTCGCAGACCCCCCCTCTGGGACCCCCCCTCGCTGACCCCCCCTCGCAGACCCCCCCTCGCTGACCCCCACTCGCTGACCCCCCCCTCGCTGACCCCCCCTCTGGGACCCCCCCTCGCTGACCCCCCCTCTGGGACCCCCCCTCTGGGACCCCCCCTCTGGGACCCCCCCTCGCTGACCCCCCCTCACAGACCCCCCCTCACCGGTCTATCCTAGGGTTGATGCCTTTAGTCGGGCGGGCGGGCGGGACATTAAAGGCATTGATTGCTTGCTTGTGTGGTGGATTACCAATTGCTTCCCGTTGGTACCGGATTACGAGTAGATTCCATTTGTGGCGGATTACAAGCTGATTCCTTTTGTCGGGCGGGCGGGCGGGACATTAAAGGCATTGATTGCTTGTGTGGCGGATGGCAAACTGATTCTTATTGTGGCAGATTACACATTGATTCCTTTTGTCTGGCGGGCGGGCGGGACATTAAAGGCAATGATTGCTTGTTTGGTGAATTGCGAATGGATTCCCTTTGGCAACGGATTTTCAACTTATTCCTTTGGTCGGGCGCCTTTTGCCGGGCGGGCGGGCGGGACATTGAAGGCAATAATTGCTTGTGTGGTGAATTACACATGGATTCCCTTTGGCAGCGGATTGCAAACTTTTTCCTTTGGTCGGGCGGGCGGGCGGGACATTAAGTGCATTGATTGCTTTCGTGGCGGATTACAAAGTGATTCCATTTGGCAGCGGATTGCAAGTTGATTACTATTATGGCGGATTACAAGCTGATTCCTTTTGTCGGGCGGGCGGGCGGGACATTAAAGGCATTGCTTGCTTGTGTGGCGGATTACACATACTGAAGGCCCTAGGCTTCCCAAGGATAGGCCCTACTGGACACCCTAGGGTAGCCCTAGGGTACCCCTAGGGGTAGGCCCCAGAGGTAGCCCTAGGGTAGCCCTAGGGGTAGGCCCTAGGGTAGCCCTAGGGTAGCCCTAGGGGTAGGCCCTAGGGGTAGCCCTAGGGTAGCCCTAGGGGTAGGCCCTAGGGGTAGCCCCAGGGTAGCCCTAGGGGTAGGCCCTAGGGTAGCCCTAGGGTAGCCCTAGGGGTAGGCCCTAGGGGTAGCCCTAGGGTAGCCCTAGGGGTAGGCCTAGGGGTAGCCCTAGGGTAGCCCTTCCTTGGGTGATCTATAAGGCGCCTCCGGCGCCGCCCCTGGCGCGCTCCGCGCGCCAGGGAGGGGGGCCCCAGCGCCGATCAGAGAAATCCGCGCGGACCTCCGGTTTTCATTGTTCATGCCACTTGTCGCTCCCCTAATGGAGAAGGCAAGGAGGACCCGCCAAAATGACGGCCGCGACGCCCTCTCGCGAACCGAAAACGGCCAATTCCTCACTCGACGTGTCAGGGTAGGTCTATCCACCTCCGAGAAGAAGGCAGGGAGGAGGGCGGGCGGAGGCCGAGGGCGCGGAGCAGCGCGCGTGCGTGCTCCGTCACGGCGCGGGGGGGGCGAAGCCAGCCCGGCGGGGCAGCCCAGGCGGGGGCCTCTCCCCGACGGGCGCCGCGCCGCCGATCCGCCGCGGCGGCGCGCGCGCCATTGGGGGGGCAGAAGGGGGCCGAGATTTGAAGGGGCCCTGGGACACGCAAACAAATCCACACAGGATTTCCTTATCTTTTCCCATCTTTTCTGGGCTCTCGTCTTCCCCCCAAACCTCCCATAGCTTTCCAGATTTTCTGGGGAATCGACGATGAATAATTGTGTCTGTGTGTTTTTTCCCCTCCTGAGAGATGGGGGGATGTGGACGCCCGAGACGGGTCCCAAACCGACGGCGGCTGCTGCTGGGCAGGCGGCCTCCTGTCTCAAGCGGGCAGTGCCCGCACCGACACCGACGGCAGGTCCTGTTCAAAATGAAGAAGGCGTGCTGTCGGTATCCGAATCCATTCTTTGCGTGCCAGTTTCGATCGTCCTGAGGGGAACGCTTCTCGGGAGGAGGCTACTTCTCAGCAGGCGCCGGCCCAGCATCTAGAGAAGAGGCCCGCCCCTTCTGAGAAGCAGGGGTGAAGCCCTCCCCCATCCCCTTCGGTGGCAACTCATGGGAGCCTCCCATACCGTCTTGCTGGCTCTTGCGGATCGACGCGAATCGGCGCTAGTCGACGCTCTAATCGACGCTAAATCGACGTTAATCGACGTTAGGTTAGCCGACGCTACATCGGCGCTGTCTCATCGACTCCCAGACGCCAATCGACGCCTAAGACGGAATGAAAAGGGTATACCTGGCTCCCATGCTTTGCCACCGAGCTCCCCCGCTGCCCCCCCCGTCTAGGCGCGGCCGCCGCGCCCCCCCGCCGCGCCGCGCCGCCGCGCGCCCCCGCCGCTCCGCCGCGCCGCCAGAAAGGCAGCGGCGCGGCGCCGCGCAGCCCGCGCGACGGGTGCGGCGCCCCGCTGCACGACTGGGCGCGCGCGCGGGGGGGGGCAACCATCTTCGCACTTCGCCCTGTCCCCAAGATTGGCGTGCCTGAATAAAGCACGGAGACCACTGAGCAGCGGTTTCAGACTTAGCCCTATCCCTAAGATTGGCGCGCCCGAAAAGGCGGTGATCACCGACCAGCGGTTTCAGACATGGTGAGTCCAGAGGCCATGTGGCCCAACCAGCCTAGGCAGGCAGCCACCCAGCTCATTAGAGGCCTCCCAGATGGGGTCGGAGTAGGTGGGGTCGGAGGATCGCGCCGCATTGTTGATGCATCACCGACGCATCGGCGATTCATCGGCGACGTCGGCGATGTATCAGTCACGTCGGCCAAGAGAAAATCAGTCTCATCATCGAAACGCATCGCCGATGCGTCGGCGATGCAGCGCAATTTTCCGACCCCATGTACTTCGAACCCATCTGGGAAGCTTAGAAACATCGGAACCTGCACATGTCTACGCGCAGACCAATTCTGAATTGAAGCTCCCATGATTTGCAACCTGACCGTCAAGCTCATGGCAAGAAAAACATATCAGCAGACTTCCGAAATTATGGGTCTCACGCCTGGCGACCGAACGCCCCAAGAAGTCTTGACAACCGAAGACGTTCGAAAAGCCTCTTCCTCCTCTCCAAACCCGCTGGGCCTTCGGCTCCTTATGGTATTGGCGTCGGTGCTCGAAGGCTTCGGCAGGTCCATCTCGGCTCACAGCTCGTCGTCGTCGTCCTCCTCCACGAAGTCCGCCAACCCCCGCGATGGGCTGGAGGGGGGAGTGTGCAACGCTCGCCGCCATCGCCCGGGCGCCTCTTCCCCGTGCATGTGTCGATGTGTCGTGCTGCGCAGTGTTCGATGTCGCACATATATATGTATATCTATATATATATACATATGTATATATATGTTTACACATATATATATATGTGTATATATACACACATATACACATATGTTCCGCAAGATGACCCAGGATATGCTCCTCGGCGGCCCCCGCCGAGGAAAGCTGCACACGCCCGAGCGATGGCAAGGAAGAGGAGGGCGCCGTCGAGCCGCGGCCCCCGAGTCCGCCCCCCCCCTTGGAGGGAGGGGGAGATGGAGGAATGGGAGGCGGCGGCGGAGGAGGGAGGGAGGGAGGGAGGGAGGGAGGAAGAGGAGGAGGAAGAGGAGGAGGGGTGGAGGGAGGCAGGGGGGGGGGGAGGGCGGGATAAATGGAGGGAGGGAGGGAGGGATGGATGGAGGGACGGAGGGAGCTTGCCCTCCAATCCTGACATCCAGCCGTGCACCCTCTCCCCCCAGTCGCCCATCCCCTCACTCCCTCCGCCCCTGCCCCTCCCCTCCTCTTCTGCTGCCCCCCACACAAACCCCTCGGGGTCCATCTGGAGCCGGTCGGCCCGATTCGGTATGCACCTCGGCCCGATGCGATCTGGCTCGATGCCGATCCTCTGGCGATCCCGCCGCGTCCGGAGCGGCAGAGAGCACGCCCTACAGTGGAGACCCGTGCCAAGAGACACCCTGCGTGCCTCCAGAGTGCCCAAGCTTTCGACTGAGGCCCTCGGCATCTGCGCGCATCTCCTGGATCTGCGCCGGACCCCCCATGGCAGCGTCCTTCTGCGCCGCCCCCCAGTCGCCCTGCGGGGGTGTTTCCCCCCCCCCCCCCCCCATGCTTGCGTGTGCCTGCGCCAGCGGGGTCTGGGTTTGGGGTCCCCAGATCGCTTTCACGAAAGGGTAGTTTGCTAAATGGGGCTGCAGTGGAGACCCGTGCCAAGGAACACCCTGCTTGCCTCCAGGATGCCCTGGGTTTCTTGGGTCTCGATGGTTTCGCTGTGGAGGGCGCGACGTTCCCACACCAAAGACATCGGTGGACGTCCTGGGGTCTCAGGGTCGGATTTCTTGTGGGAGGTTTCTTCTGGTCGAGCTCCTACTGTAATTCAACATAAACTGTTGGCGTTCCGCGCTGATTTCTTGGATCTGCGCTGGACGTTCTTCTCTGGCGTGCGGGGCTCGCCAGGGGCGGCGCCTGAGGCGGCGCCGGGGGGGCCCAGCGCGGGTCCAACAGATCCGCGCAGAGCGCCAAGTGTTTATGTTTGTGTTATGTTGTTCCCATCCTACTTAAGGACCACATCCCAGAAAAAGAATCGAGCACCCAGAAAAATATCAAAGGAGTGTCAAAACGGTGACGAAACAGTGTCGGGCGAGTGTCTTCCAGGGCCCGGCACGTGAAACCCCTTGAGTTTCGGTACTTTTTTCTGGCCGCTCGAAATTCTTCCTGGTGATCAAGGCTAAAGTCGGCTGGAGCATTATAATGTTTGTGGCGGTGTTGCTCTTCTTCGAGCGTCGCTCGATCGGGCAGGCGGGTGCGGCGTCGGCCCCGAGGATCGAAGAGGACCTTGTCCTTGTCGCCTGCCCCCCGCCGGCCGCCAGGCGGGGACGCCGTCGCCAGGAGGTCGAGCGGAGCAGCGGCCGCGCACGCTGGCTTGCAGCGTTGGCGGCCCAGGGGCTCGAGAGCATCGAGACGTGCTGCCAGAGCACGCTGCTTGAAGAACGAGGCGTATGAGGGCAGCGCGCCCAAACGCAGGCTGAACAGGCAAGTTGCACTGCCCCAAGCTCTCTTCCATCCGAATCCAGGATAAGCGCGATCACTGTGAAGCACATGAACAAGATTGGCCAAAACCACTCACGCACAACACGGTGTGCCAACAAGAGCTTGGATGAACAAATAAGATCGTATACAGCATCGGTGCGATAATGACGAGTGTCGCTGCCGTGTGAACATTATCTGCCACGCCTTGCCGCGTGAGCTAAACAAAACTTGTAGCGGACAAAAGGGGAGGACAGTAGAGGGGATAGGGGGGTGGAAAATCAGCTAACGCGGCCGATGTTCGCTCCCGGCGCACACGAGCGCCGGGGGCGCCACTGCATGCAGGGAAGCGCTTGGCGGCAGGGCCGAAGCCAGCTGCATGCAGCGGACTTCTCCCCCCCAGCCTTCCGTGATCCCCCCCCCTCCGTCCGATCCGACGGATCCTCGTCGCCTCGCTTCGGGGCAGAACTCGGGCCTGCGGCGGCCACGGGCGACGCTTCGGGCGCACCCCCGGAACGCTCTCGGCGGGGCGCAGCTGCTGGAGAGCATCCCAAGGCTGCAAGACCGTGGAGAGCCGACGACGACGCAAGAGAGCCTCGAACCTCGAACCCCCATCTACCGATCCCCCCCTTACGTCCGCCCCGAATGGAATGGACTGGATCCCCTCCCTCCGCAGATATCAACGTCCCAACAATATGCGGCCATGTCCTCGCCCAGCGTGACGGCGTCAACGAAGGCCGAGCCATGCTCTTCCACTATGTTGTCGCACTCATACTGCACGGTCTCCCACACACGCACTCCCTTGTTTTCGGCATCAGGGCGCGCGGCGCGCATGCAATCGAGCAGCAGCTCCGGAGTAACTGCTGACGGCCAGGCATGCCAAAATGAGGGCAGCGGCTGGCAAGGGATCGCGGGCGCACGTGGCATGAGGAATCCTGACAAGACGGCGCAGGGGCTCTGCTTCTGCAAACTGGCACCTGCCCACCCCGCGCTTGCCTGGCCATCGCTCGGACGTCCATTCCCTGTGTTTTTGGTCGGTTTCGTGCGTGGTTTCTCCGCCAAATGATCAAGAATGCTCCTCGATGGTCCTCGCCGACGGAAAAATGCACACGTCCGAGCGATGCCAAGTTGCCGCAAGCAAACTTGCCGTATACACTGTCTTCTCCACAGGGGCCCTGGGCTCCGTGGAAGGCTACGCCCTCCTTGGAGGCCGCACGCCTGGATATCCTAGGAGAGCCCCGTGCCGCAGGGGCAATATTCGTTGGCCACGTCGGGACAAAGAGAGAGAGAGAGAGAGAGAGAAACGGGCTCCCGATCGCGCCGCATCGCGCTGATGCAGCGGCGATGCGGCGAGGCTCTCCGCTCCCATCTGCTCCAGCCCCAGTTGCTCGAACGAAAGGGGCCCCGAGGTCTTGATGCCTCCTCTCTGGCCATCGCTCGGACGTCCATTCCATGTGTTTTTGTTGTTGTTTCGTGCGTGTTTTTTTCGCCAAATGATCAAGGATGCTCCTCGATGGTGAGCGATGCCAAGCTCTCCTTCATGCGAGAAACCAGGGCACCTGTCCCTCAAGACCCTTGTCCTCACGTCGGCCCTGTCACAAGCGGCCCCAGAGCAATCTCTCTCTCGGGGTGCGTCCCAGCCGAGGAGGAATCCGGCCCTGGCGACGATAAGCCTCCCAGAGGCCCAGACGGAGCAGAATGCGTGCAAGCGCCTCGTACCTCGATCGTCGCCCAAAGAAAGTCGAACCTCGATCGGTCTGTAGACATACAGTAGGGCTCGAGCAGAAGAAACCTCAGACAAGAAACCCAACCCTGAGACCCCAAGACGTCCACTGATCTCTGGTGTGGAACGTCACGTCTTCCATAGCAAAACCATCGAGACCCAAGACACCCAGGGCAGGGTGTTTCTTGGAATGGGCCTCCACTGCAGCCCCATGTGGCAAACCACCCTTTCGTGAAAGCGATCTGGGGACCACAAACCCGGACCCCGCTGGAGCAGGCACAAGCAAGCAGGGCGGCCGCAAGCACGCGCGCAGGGCGACTGGGGGGCGGCGCCGAAGGACGCTGTCATGGGGGGGGGGGGGGGTCCAGCGCAGATCCAAGAGATGCGCGCAGATGCCGAGAGCTTAAGTTTTAAAGCTTGGGCGCTCTGCTGCTCTTCGAGGGAGGGGGGACAGAAATCCGATCCAGCACCGCATGACAGATCTCGCACGGGACGCTCCCAGAACCACAATTCGACGACGACGTCGACGCCCGAGAGCAGGTCTGGGAACCCCGTGTGGCTACCATCACAGGCCCCCCCCCGCGCCTCTTCATCGCCGCCCTGCACGAGGAGCGGCCCCGCTGCAACGGAGCGCAGCCCGCCCGCATATCGGAAAAACGCACCGTGAGGCTGCCAAAGGGCCTTGGCAGCCCGCTCCGGAGCCTCCCGCGCGGGGCGAGGCCAGCGGAAGTGGCCAGGGAGAGGCCGAGGAGGCGAGGCCGCAACGCATGCTCCAGGTTTCTTACTAAGCGTGGGGGGGGGGTACCCCCCCCCGACGGGGGTCGGCCTCGCCCCCGTCGTCGCGCCGCGGCGGGGGCCGGAGCGCCCTCGGTGCGCGGCGGCTGCCCGCGACGGGGGTCGATATGTGGGGCCGTCGGCGGGGGCGGCGCCCCCTGGGCGCTCCTCTCGAGGAGCTCGGAGCGCTCTCGGGAGAGCTGCCCCTCCTTGCCTTATGTCGGGCGTGTCCCCCTACAGGGGGATTTTCTACGAAAAATACTAAATACCCCAAAAGTACCCCAAGAAGGTCAAAAAATACTACAAAAAATAATCCCCAGACTATTTTTGGAGCACTTTGTGACTATTTTCGGTGTATTTCTTAATGTTCGTCGAACATCCCCCTGCAGGGGGACAGGCCCGACTTAATCCCTGCCCCGCGGGTGGGCCGTGCACCACCGCGGGGCCTCTCCGCTGCCCTCGCCGCCTCCCCTCCCCCCGGCAGCCTCCGCGGCCCGCGAGTTCCCGGCCGCCGCCCTCCCCGCCCCGAGCCTCAAGTCGGGCCTGTCCCCCTAGAGGGGGACGTTCGAGGAAGAATAAAAAAATGCCCAAAAAATAATCCACAAATAGTCCAAAAATAGTATAGGGACTTCTTTTTGAGTAATTTCTGGCCCTTTTGGGGCATCTATGGGGTATTTCTTATTTTTCGTCGAACATCCCTCTGCAGGGGGACACGCCCGACTTAACCCGAGCCCCTCCAGGTGGTGCAGGGTGTACTGGTTGGGATTCGGGAGCTGCGCCAGCACTTTCCGGTTGCACACCTGGGTCGGCACCGGGGCTGGACCTGACCGTTGCTGTGCGTCTTGTTGTCGTTTTGTGCTTCGTCTCGCTGGACCAGCTTTCCTGTGCCTCCCTGGCTAAACGAAGAACAGAACACAGCCGAAGTCCAGCAAAACAGCGCCTAGGTCCAGCCCTGCATCCCTCCAATGTCATCCACGTCCCCAGCGAGGCATTGCGGCGACCAGTTCGCGGTGGCCGCAGGGCGTAGTGTGACGTACTATCACTGCACAACTGCGGCCCCAGATGGGGGGAAGAACAACCAAGTGAAGCAACGGGTGGGTCGGATGCACGCCTTCGGAATCGTCGCTGCTCGTCCCTGCCCCGCCGCCCCCTGTCTGTTTCCGTGCAGCCCCTCAGCCTCCTGCTGCTCATCCTACGTGCCCTCCTCATGCACGTCCCCTTTCTCCTGTTCCTACATCTCCCCCTCCTCCTGTTCCTCAACCTCTCCCCCGCTCTTCCCCCTCCTCTTCCTCACTCCCCCCCCCTTCCTCCACATCGTCCCCCTGGCATGGGGGCGACGGGTCCCGAGGGAACTGGGCCCTGGAGACCTGGGCTCTCTCTCTTTCTCTTTCTCTTTCTCTTTCTCTCTCTCTCTCTCTCCTCTCTCCCCAAGACCAGCTCTTCCCTCTCTATCCTGAGCGCCTGGTTGACTGCACCCGCCTTGGAGCCCGAAACCGGCTGGCAAAGACCCAGGATCCGGCTCCCTGGGGACCCGCTCGCTTCCTGGCGGGAGGAGGAGGACGAGGAGGAGGGAGAAGGAGGAGGAGGAGGAGGAGGAGGAGGAGGAGGAGGAGGAGGGAGGAGGAGGAGGAGGATGGAGGAGGAGGGGGAGGAGGGGGAGGAGGAGGAGGGAGGAGGGAGGAGGGAGGAGGGCGGAGGGCGGAGGGAGGAGGGAGGAGGGAGGAGGAGGGAGGAGGAGGAGGAGGAGGACTAGGAGGAGGAGGAGGAAGAGGAGGAGGAGGAGGCGGAGGCGGAGGAGGAGGAGGAGGAGGAGGAGGAGGAGGCGGAAGAGGAGGAGGAGGAGGAGGGGGGGGGACTTCCTCCCCCTCTGCCCTCGCCTGTCACCCTTCCCCACCTCCGACGACCCCTGGCCCAGCACTCCCCGCGCCCTCCCCGGAGGACTCCCGCGCGCTCCGCGCCGGCCTTCTTCTGCACCGCGGCGATGAGCATGCTCTCCCCCGTCTGGCCCGAAGAGCTCGTGCCTTTCACGGCAGAGGGGGGGTGGGACAGGATGCCGAGGGCACGGGGGCGGAAGCCAAGCCAGGATCCGTCCAGTATCGAGATCGGGCCAGATCGGAATGCGCGTCGGATCGGGCCGCACCGTCGGAACAAGGTCGGAACCGAGTCGGGCCGGCCGCGCCAGGATGCACAACAACGCAGGCATCGGGCCGCATCGGATGGCCGGAAAAGATCGGAATCGACTGGGATCGAGCCAGCAAGAATTGGAAGCTGGGCGAGGGCTGGCAAATCCGTGGCTGCTAAAACGGAACGGCTTTCCCGGAAGAAAAAACAACTTCCCATAATAAAACTCAGCGCAATAAATAATAAACGGGCTGCTTCCGGGAAGACAATCAGCACATTCCCGGAGCTCCGTTTTAGCAGCGACGGGTTTGCCAGCCTTCGCCTGGCTCCTGAAAGAACCGATATCGAATCGGATCGATCGGATCGAAATGGACCCTGGAGGGAGCACGAAAGGATGTGGAGGACACGGGGGCGGATGGAAAAGATAGGTGGCGCCATCGGTGGACATTCGGCGAGCACGGCTCACTTCTGACTTGTAAAGCTGGCTCAATGTCTAACCCGATTGGGCAAGACTGACCTGGATTCAACTGACTAAGCCAGACTAGCCCAGGCCAGGGTGCAGAGGTAAATATACAGAAGCCAAGGCTGATGAGAGTTGCAAGTTAAGGTGGGGTGGGCAAGGATGAGGAACTCCCGACCTTCCACCATCAGTCGTCGTACTAGGTTCCAGATGCATGGTGCAAAAAGCGGTGAGCTGCAGACATAGGGGAGATTGGGGAGAGATGAAGCACTCTCCAAGGCCGTCTGAGATGGGTGCTGGACCATGTGGTGTCTCTGATGTTAAACGCAAGGACAGCTACCAATCGCAAACTACCTGAGGCTATCCAACTGCCTGGTCGCCGAGTGATGCAACATGCTTCTGGACAAAGGCGGCCTTTCTCAGGCACTGCGTCAGAGGACCACCAACGCCCCCATGTGGAGGTCCAAGATCTGACGCAAGCGCGCTCTGGCATTAACGGGGCCCGGTGGTGACAGGCGTGGTCAGTGGGTTATCGGGGCCTCGCCCTTTCGTTCGCGGACCAGCGATTCTGACAAGAGGCATGGCGACCCCCATCCCCGACGCGGATTGAATTCCAACTGGCCAGAGTGTGGGGGGCCCAACTCGGGGATGTACCATGGGGGGGGTACGTTCACTCCCAGTGGGGGTGCGTCCGAATCGCCTCCGCGGGGGTGCGTCCCCGAAATGTCCTCTTCCCCGAACAGCGCATGCGCCTCTAAGATCTCGCTTGGGGGAACCGAAAGGTACCGGTACCGCTACGCCCCGGACCTCCTGGGGTGCGTCCTGACAAAGATGTCGAGGCGAAGGCAGCGCTGGTGACGAGGGCCTCCCGGGAGGCCCAAGAAGAGGGGAAACACGGCCGAGGGGCAGCGGCATGGGTACCTTTTCCTTCTCTGATCACTTGCCCTGCTCTTCGCTCGGACGGGGCCGCCGAGGCTTCTTCGCCCGCAGGGCAGCCCCGTGGGCGCTCCGTGGGGGCCACGTGCGCCGGCCGAGGCTTCGCCGAGGCTTCGCCCAGGGGGCGGCCGGGGGCGCCTCGAGCGGGCGCCCTGTGCGCTGGCCGCTCCTCCTCCCCTCCTCCTCCTCCTCCTCCTCCCTCCTCCTCCTCCTCCTCCTCCGCCTCCTCCTCCACCTCCTCCTCCTCCTCCTCCATCCCCTCCTTCCCCTTCCTCCTCCTCCTCCTCCTCCTCCTCCTCCCTCCTCCTCCTCTTCCTCCTCCTCTCTCCTCTGCCTCCTCCTCCTCCTCCCTCCTCCTCCTCCTCTCTCCTCCTCCTCCTCCTCCTCCTCCCTCCTCCTCCTCCTCCTCCTCCCTCCTCCCCCCATTCCTCCTCCTCCTCCTCCTCCTCCTCCTCCTCCTCCTCCTCCTCCCCGGGCCCGCCGAGAGGTCTCACCAGGTGGGCGACCGGGGGCGCCCCCCGTGCGCTGGCTGGGTGCGCAGGAGGTGCGCCAGGTGGGACCCGCCGCAGATTGCACCCCGCGCGGCCCGCATCACATCACCTGGTTGCACCGACTAGATCGCACGGCATGGCGGGCGCACCAGATCGACGGCACCGCATGGATTGACGTACATAGCGTGCACTACATCGAGTCCACTGCAGAGCTTGCAACTCATAGATTGCACTACGCGTATTTTCGAAACCAGGGTGCAACAGTTCACTGCTTGGGGTCAATTTCTTACGGCGACCTCGGGGATTAGACCGGCGGCGGGCGAGAGTGGGAAGTGAGAAGAAGAAGGCAGTCTCAGAAGGCGGCTGGACTTCTCAGAAGCCCTCGAGCCTTCTGAGAAGACTCATGTGTCTTCGGAGAAGGCTTCGAAAACTTCTCAGGAGGCCGGGGGACTTCCGAGCCTTCTGTGAAGGCCCGCCCCTTCTCACTTCCCCCTCTGCCGACTAGAGGAAACAAATCGTCTGCGAGACTCGCCCGTAGAAGGAGACGAAAATAATCTGGTTGCACTCGATGAGACCCCACGGCGGAAGCAGTCCCTGCCCCCAGCCGCACAGGGATCCGAGCCCTGCCGGCCCCGACCTGCACCAACTTCCTGCGAGAACCCGCGCAAGAGCCGACGTGCGGGATCGCCAAGTCAACTGGAAGGACCAGACAGCACCAAATCGGGAAATCGGACCAAATCGGAATGTGCCTCGAATCAAGCCGCACCAGCACGGAGTCGGTATCGAATCGGATCTGCCACGCCAAGATGCACAACAACGCAAGCAAACCTCGGGCCGCTTCGGACCGTCAGAACACCGGAATCGAATCGGGTGGGGCCAGCCAGAATCGATATCGGATCGGATCGATCGAATCTGTTTGAGCCCTGACTGGATTCCTACCTTTGGGAGGGTTCGGACTCCTGGCTCCCATCCACCAGGCCCCAGAAACAACACCGATCCTGCTATCGCCCTGCTGCCGCCAGCCCTGCACCTACACCTATTTGCTACTCCTCCTCCACTCGCGCTGTTCTTCCTAGAGGGGGCGAAGGCTCGCAGCGTCACTCCTCCTATCGTCCTTCTCCTCCTCCTGCTCCTCCTTATCCTCCTCCTCCTCCTCCTCCTCCTGCTCCTCCTGCTCCTCCTCCTCCTCCTCCTCCTCATGATCATGATCATGATCATGATCATGATCATCATCATCATCATCACCACCATCATCACCATCACCACCATCATCATCATCATCAACATCATCAGCATCATCATCATCATCATCATCATCATCATCATCAGCATCATCATCAGCATCATCATCACCATCATCATCATCACCATCATCATCATTAGCATCATCATCATCATCAGCATCATCATCATCCTCATAATCAGCCTCATCCTCCTTATCATCCGCATCATCATCAGCAGCATCATGATCAGCCTCCTCCTCCTCCTCATCATCATTTTCCGAATCAGCATCAGCCTCTTCTTCATCATCAGCATCAACATCAACAACATCGTCAGCAGCAACCGAATTGTTATCATCAGCATGATCATCAGCAGCATCAGCATCAGGATCATCATCATCACTATCATCACTATCATCACTATCATCATCATCATCATCATCATCATCATCATCATCATCAGCATCATCATAATCAGCATCAGCATCAGCATCATCATCAGCAGCAACATCATCATCATAATCATTACCCGATTCCTAATGCTCGTTCCCAAATCCTCAAGCGGGTCATCCCCTCCCACCTTTGTTTCCTTCTCCTCCTCCGCCTCGACCTCGGCCTCCTCTGCCCCTTCTCCTCTCCGCCTGCGACCTCGACCTCCTCCCTCCTTCTCATCCTCCCCCGCGTGTTTTGCCTCCAACTTACCCTCTGCCTCGTCCTCCTCCTCGGCCACCTCCGCCTCGGCCTGCGCCTCCTCCTATCGGTGGATGACAGCAAATGTCGCGACTTTGGGGGAACACTTTGTCGCCGCAGTCCTCTTCCTCTCGGGTGCGCCCTCACTGGGGGGGCAACACTGGGATGGCCCTGCATAGTATGTGCGGGCAAGGGGGGCCTGCGAATGAGATCCGGGAAATGTCCTGGCCCTGGCCATGTCATCCACACACCAGCAGTCCGCCTCCTGGGGGGGGGGCCACTGACCTGGAACCGACGACGCATCGCCGATACATCGGCGATCGGCCCCCGACATGGGAAACTACATGCTACTGAGCCCGCCGGGACTCTCAGGCCACGATCGGCGAGGCATGGGCGATCGGTGGTCGATGCCTCCCATCCTGAGCCAGTGCCCCCCCCTTGGTCGGCGCCACAGACCGATCCTCCTCCTCATGCTCCTCCTCCTCCTCCTCCTCCTCCTCTTCCTCCTCCTCCTCCGCCTCCTCCTCCTCCTCCGCCGCCTCCTACTCCTCCGCCTCCTCCTCCTCCTCCCCCTCCGCCTCCTCTCCTCTCCTCTCCTCCTCCTCCTCCTCCTCCTCCTCCTCCTCCCTCCTCATCATCATCATCATCATCATCATCATCATCATTAGCATCGTCTTACTCCTCCTCAACACCATCATCACCATTACCATCGTTCCATCCGCATCAGCATCATCATTATCATCATCAGCATCAGTATCGTCGTCATCATCATCAGCAGTATCGTATTATTATTCTTCATCATCATAGTCATCATCATCATCATCATCATCATCATCACCATCATCATCATCATCATCATCATCATCATCATCATCATCATCATCATCATCATCATCATCATCATCGTCATCGTCATCGTCATCATCAACATCATCCTCATCCTCATACTCATCATCATCCTCCTCATCATCATCACCACCACCACCATCATCATCATCATCATCATCATCATCATCAGCAGCATCATCATGTGCATCAGCATCATCATCACCACCACCATCATCACCAGCATCAACATCATCATAATCAGCATCATCATCAGCATCACCAGCATCATAATACTCATCATCATCATCTCCAGCATCGGCATCGGCATCATCATCATTACGTACCAGCAACATCATCACAACCAACACCGTCACCAGCATCACCACCACCAGCATCACCGCCATCAGCATCAGCAGCATCACCATCAGCATAATCCCCCATCAGCATCAGAAGCAGCATCGTCATCATCATCATCATCATCACCATCAGCATCATCATCATCACCATCCTCATCCTCATCGTCCTCACCTTCACACTCATCCTCATTTGGGTCCTCCTCACCACCATGACCAACAACAGCGCCATACCGAAATGCCCCCAACCTCTGCCGGCTGGAGAGAGACCGTGCGCGACGACCGCGAGCGAGTCGACCGCCAGGCCCTCGGCGAGGGCGGTAGGGACTGAGACAGGTAGGGGACGGAGGTGAGGATGTGGGGAGGAGGGATCTTTGCTCGCGGCTCGATTCGAGACTCTCGGCAAGGGCTAGCGGCTAGACCGGCATCGGTATTGCAGTGCCCATGGACACCCATCGCTTCTATCCCCGGCGAGGGCAGTTGAGAGGGACTTAGAGGCAGGCAGGGAACCACTACTGATACACTTAGCGGCGCCAATCGTGAGCAGCTTGCGCATCGTTATTGTTGCGCAATGGGCTCGGAGTGTTGAGAACGAATCGCGGCCATTCCTAATCATATGCGGACAAGTGCGGCAAACGCCCATACCCAGCAGGGGCCTTGCAACCTTTGGCGTGGCACATCTCAAGGTGGTGGTGGTGGTGTGGTGGTGGTGGTGGTGGTGGAGGGTCTACTCTGAGGTTGGAGGTGGTGGAGTAGGGTTGCACATCATACTCAGTATGTTTAGAGACTCCGTGGGTGAAGGCACTCTAGAAATTGAATACCAGCTGCCCTCGGTGACAGTTCGAACTTCCCTAGGTGAGAGTCATTGTCAAGGGATGGACCGGAGTGTGGAGCTCGGCGGGGTGGGAGGGCACTCCTTTGCCGACGCCCGCAGATCTAATACTCTATTCCCTGGCGGGCTTCTCCAATTTCTTTCTCCTCGCAGCTCCTGCGCCGCTCAGTCTGCATCAAGGTGGCTTTGCTGATTACCGATCCGCCCCTCCTCCTCCTCCTCCTCCTCCTCCTCCTCCTCCTCCTCCTCCTCCTCCTCCTCCTCCCCCTCCCCCTCTTCCTCCTCCTTCTCCTCTCCCTCCTCCTCCCGAAAGTCGCCTATGTAGTTGTACGGGCTGCCGCTCTTCGTGGTCCTGGCGCGCTTCCAGGACTTCTGCGCCTGAAGGGCTATCGCCTCCGCGGCTCCGAAGCGGAGGACTGGGGGGGTAATAGCAGGGCGCCGCATCGAGGTTCGAGATGTTTGGACGCTATACCTGTTCTGGGGAGAAGGACTGATTGGAGAGGGGGACGAGTATGAGTGTTACACGGGCTTCAAGGAGGCACTGGAGGAGGCGAGGGGAAATTGAGACAGGGGATAGAGGCCAGTGCAAGCATGAAAGTGAAGCCCCGTCGCTCGCAAGTGCCAGGCAGAGCAGGAGAGAGAGAGAGAGAGGAGGAACAGGAGAAGGACGAGGAGGAAGCAGGGAACCATACTGTGTATGATGATCACGTCCATTAAAGCGGAGAGGTTGACGTTCGACTCCCCATGCGTGAAGCACCAGCGTGCACCAGCAGGCTGCCCTCCTCCTTCCTCCAACTCTGCCTCCTCTTCCTCCTCCTCCTCCTCCTCCTCCTTCTCCTCTTACTCGTCCCCATCAGTCACCTGCTATCCGAAGTCCTGATTTTCTCAACGCGATTGTTCTAGGGAAAACAGCTGCTCGCCTCGTCGTCAGGTGCTGTGTATCACAGCAGCGGAGCTGCGCCACCGCGCGAGACGGAGGATGGCACGGTGGCCGCCAAGCAGCAGCAGCAGCAGCAGCGGCAGCAGCAGCAGCAGCAGCGGCAGCAGCAGAGGCAGTACGAGATCCCCAGCACTCCCGACTCGCCCCGCAGGGCTGCCCGCCCATCCCGAGCCGCTTCGTCCACGGGCCCGCAGAGCCACGGCGCGGCCCCGGGAGGCCGAGGACGGAGAAAAGCATGCGCCTGGATGCCTTCCAAGACGCTGGGCATCTATCTGGGCACTCACCCCCCCCTCCCGCCCCACCCACCCCTGGCCAGCGGCTCCCCTTCCCCCGCCCCCCCTCCCCGCACGCATCCTCCTCCTCGTTCTCCCCCGCGCCCGCCCGGCCCTCCTCCGCCACCGCCTCCTCTTCCCTCCTTGGTGGGGCAAAGGGCAGCGAGGAGGGGGCGAGGGGCGGGGTGACGGGAGGGCGGGGAGGGGCAAGGGGAGGGAAGGGAACGCAGAGGACAGGAGGCCAGGTGCCGAACGACAGACATCCGTACGAAGCGCAAACTCTCAAAGGTCCTCTCGCGGATCTCGCGGGCCGGCGCTGACCCCTCGCCCTTCCCTGGCGCGCCAAGGAGCGCGGCGGACCTCCTCCCAAAGCCTACGACTGTGTGGCTTCTTTCCTGTCCCGCGGAGGGGGGGCGCGGAGGGGGGGGGGCGGGCGACGGGCGACGGAGGAGAGGGGAGGGGAGGTGGGGGACCGGGGGGAGAACAGGGCAGGGGAGGGAGGGAAAGAGGGAGAAGGGATGGGAGGAGAGAGGGAGACGGAATGGGAGGAGGAGGGGAGGGCAGAGGGAAAGGGGGGAAGGATGGGAGGGAGGAGGATGGGAGGAGGGGGGATGGGGGGAGGTAGAACGGGGGGGGGGAAGTATGGGAGGAGGGAAGGGGAGGATGGGAGGGGACAGGGGGGGAGGGGGGGGACAGGGAGGGCGGGGGGGGAGGCAATCTAGGTGCGCTCGCGCAATATCTGACATCCGAGTTGCCCCTCCCAACCATCCCGTCACATTGCTCTGCTGTGCTTCTGCCCACCGACGGGTGTCATAGCGGACATGGAACCCCCGAAGGACCCCATCGTCTCATGTGTTGGGGTCTCTTTGGTGAAATGGGAACTGAGCACACTGGAGGTGACGGATGAGCAGGAGGAAGAGGGAGAGGAGGAAGAATGAGGAAGACGAGAAATGAACATCAGCAGCAGCAGGAGATGGAGTGAGATGAGCGAGAGGGGCAAGATGATCAGGGGAAGGCGGGGGAGCGGTAAGGAGCGGGGCGATAACGATGACGAAGGACTCGGATCCAGAAAGATGTCTCGCTTGGGCGAGAGAGCTATCTGAACGACGGGAGCAAAACACCGATCCTAAAATTCGCCGGCCCAACGGGCCAGAGGCGTGCTAAGATCTCCGGTAACTGGTTAACAATTTTCTAGTTCGCGCGCGCGGGGCGGCCCCTGGGGGTCCCCGGACGAAAAGTACCCCGACCAGGTCCCGGCCGGGTCCCCCCGAGCGCTCCATGAGCGCACCAACAGGGCTCCGAGACGTCCCCGAGAGCCCCAAGAAAGGCCAAGAGGCCCCCAAGAGGCCCCCAAGATGGTACACGAGGGGTCCGACATGCCACAAGATCGCTCCAAGACGCCCAAGATAGCCCCCAGACGCCCCAAGAGGCCTCCAAGAGCACTCCCAATAGGGCCCCCGGAGGCAAAAATCATTGTTTTTCCATAGGTTTTTGAGAGATTTTGGAGCTTCCACCTTTTCGGCTTCCCGACGCCCCAAGACGGCCCAAGAGGCCCCCAAGATCGCCCCAAGAGGGCCCAAGAGGCACCCAAGAGGGCCCCAAGATGGCCCAAGAGGGCTCGAAGACGGCCCAAGAAGCCTCCAAAACGGTCCAAGAGGGCCCCAAGAACGCCCCCAAAGGGGCCCCAGAGAGGGAACACGAAACAACATTTCGAGCCCTCGGCCCTAAGAAGCCCCTACGAGGCCCCTAAGAGGCCCCAAGAGGCCCCCACGGGGCCCTCAGGAGGCCCCCAAGAGTCCCCCAAGCGGCCCCAGGAGGCCCCCCAAATGCCCCCCCGAGCGCCCCAGGAGTCCCCCAAGCGGCCCCAGGAACCCCCAAAGCGCCGCATTGACACCAGGCCCTCGGGCAAACGGCAGACATGAGACTGTATGGGCCGGCGGAATGAGCGAAGCGATTAAATAAAATCCGCGCCGCAGCAGGAGCACCATCTTGACACGTCAGAAAAAAAAGAGCTCGAGTGAAAGCAAACATGGAGAAGACCAGCTTACGAATTGCATTTTTATTGAAGAAGCAAAAGCACGAAGATGGCGGGACGCTCTTCCAGCCTAGTCGGGGGAGAGAGGATAATAGAGTCCTCACTGGATAAGCAGGCGAAGGGATTGGAGGATGGGAGGAGCGAGGGAGGAGGGCCGCAACTCCGCCCGATGGTCTGTCCCCCCCCCCACCCCACCCCTCCCCCCCCCGAGGCTGCCTGACAGATGGTGCAGCGCTGCCCGCTGGCGCCTGGAGCGTCCGGCCGGCCAGCCGGGCCGAAGCTGGGGTGGTCGTGGCGGCGGGAGTAGCAGCACGGCAGGGGCGCGTCGTGACGGCTTGCGCGCTGCGCTGGCTTCCCAGGTCGCCCAGCTTCGCCGAGGATGGGGTGGAAGTGGAGGCGGGAGTAGCGTTACGGCAGGTGCTCGTCGCAACGACTTGCGCGCTGCGCTGGTCTCGCAAGCCATCCAGCTTCGCCGAGGCTGGGGTGGACCTGTGGGCGGGAGTACAGTGGAGACCAGTCCGCAAGAAGCCTTCCACAAGAAGCCAAGCCTGAGAGCCCAGGACGTCCACTGGTTTCCGGTGGGAACGTCACGCTTCCCGTAGCGAAACCATCGCAACCCAAGAAACCCAGGGCACCCTGGAGGCGAGCAGGATGTCTATTGGCATGGGTCCCCACTGTAGCGTTGCGGTAAGGGCGCGCCGTGACTTGCGCTCTGCGCTGGCTTCCCTGACCAACACAGCTTCGCGCACCGCGCCCCGCCGGGTGCGCGACGCGAGGCTGTCTTCGCGTCCCCGCGCCCTCTCCCTGCCCCCCTTCTCCTCCCCCCTCCTCCTCCCTCCGCACCCCATCCCTCCTCTTCCCCTCACCTCCTCTCTCCACTCTCTCCTCCTTCTCCTCCTCCTCCTCCTCTTCCTCCTCCTCCTCCTCGCCCTCCTCGACCTCCTCCTCACCCTCCTCCTCCCTCCTCCCTCCCCGAGTCCCTCCTCCCCCTCCTCCTCCTCCCTCCTCCTCCTCCCTCCCTCCTCCTCCTCCTCCCTCCTCCTCCTCCTCCTCCTCCTCCTCCTCCTCCTCCTCCTCCTCCTCCTCCCCTCCCCGAGTCCCTCCTCCCCCCCCGCGCTCGCCCCCGCTCGCCCAGGCCCCCTCTGGAGCAGGGCTGGCTCTGCAGGCCCCCCTCCTGGGAGGCACCGCGCGCTGCGAGAGGCGCCCCACGTTCCTCGCCTCCAGCCCCGCGTGCGCCCGCCGACCCCGCCCTGCAGGGGACGGCACACAGGCAAATTGGTCTTTGAAATCAGAAACCAATGTTTTGAGTTCAAGAAGCCATTTTTTGACTTCAGAAGCCAGGTTTTTGAATCCAAAAACCAGGTGCTTGAATTCAAGGACCAGTTTCTTGAAATATCCCCGTCGGGTACATCTGTCATCCCATGGAAGAACAAGCAAAAACGCCATAAACATAAACTTCTGTTGGCGCTCAGCGCGGATTTGCTGGATCCGCGTCGGGCCGCCCTCCCTGGCGCGCGATGCGCGCAAGCTGCGGCGCCAGAGGCGCCGCTGGGAGGGGCCCAGCGCGGATCCAAGAAATCCTCGTGGAGCGCCACAAAGTTTAGTCTTGTGCCGTTTTCTCTTTTTCGAGTCCCAAGAAGTCCGCGCGGATCCCAGAAATTGAGGGATGAAAAAACGACCCTAGCCTGGGTTACAAGTGCGTGGTTTGTAAACCTCCTGGGACCCCCCAAACGCCTAGAGCCGCCAGGACGCGGCGCATCACGCAGGGCTTACCCTGTCAGCCCCACAGGAGTTTTTCAGCGCACAGCGCCTCGTAAACCAGGGTAAGTTTTTTTATGCCCTTGAAGACATCCGCTCGGAGCGCTACAAACGTTTGGGCTCGTGGAGAAGGTTTTCTCCTCCGAGACGGGGCAGTGCGGGCCTGCGGCCCCCGCTGCGCAGGGCTCCGAGGCGGGGGGAGGGGGCCGGCTGCGGCCTCAGCGAACCAGGGGGAACAGACAAGTGCTGCCGATGGCCACGTGAGGGACAGGGGCCACCTGTTCTTAGGGGGACAAGAAGTGACATAAACATAAAAACTCGGAGGGCCGTGCGGATTTCTCGGATCGGCGCTGGACCCCCCTCCCTGGCGCGCGAGGCGCGCCAGGGGCGACGCCAGAGGCGCCGCCAGGGGGGTCCAGCGCGGATCCGAGAAATCCGCGCGGACCTCCCAGTTTTTATGTTTATGTCATGTGTTGGTCCCCCAGTTCTGCTGGCCCTCGGCCCAGGCAAACAGACGTCTCGTGAGAAAACACCTGGCCCCTCGGGGAAGCCCAGGGGTCCAAGACCCGTCTTAAAACAGGGCTAAGATCGGGATAAATCGCTCCAGAGCGTTCCGGAGCGCTCTCAGAGCGTTCCGGAACGCTCTGGAGCGGCCGCGGCGCCCAATACATCCTCCAGACCCGCCGATTCTCAAAGATTTCGAGTTATCCCGATCAAATTTTGTCCCGATCTTCGCGTCGTTTCACGTCTGCCTCAGGACCCCCCTCTGCTGCTGGCCACGGCAGGGGGCTGGGGGGCAGAAAGCACGCGATGACTGCCACGCCCGCTCCCGCTGCCGGCTCCGGGCTCTCCCCCAGACGTCCGGCCGCTCCGCTCTTTCCGATGGTCGCCCCGAATTGTTGTTCTTCTGACGGTCCCGAGGCCCTGCGAGGGCCCCCGTCCTCCTCCATCCAGCCAGCCTCTCACCAGGAGCAGGCGGAGGCAGAGGAGGCGAGGGGAACGGGTGACTGCCACATCAACTCCACTACCAACCTCGGGCTTATTACTGCCCTCCTCGTCCCTCCCGTGCTGCATATTCGGAAGGAACTTGCATGTCCCATCGCGCAACTATTCGCGTCGGATCCGCGTCGGATCCACAAATACACATCCGCTCGAACCCACGTCGAATCTGCATCGAGCACACGTCGAGCACAATCGAAACCGAAATTCACACGGCAGACAGAATTCCCCGAAAGGGCAACGCAACCCCTCCAACCTTTGAGGGGCAACGCCGGGGGGGCCAACTCATAGGGGGGACACATCGAGCTGGAACCGTCGCCACGGCGCCGACAGATCGGCGAGAGGCCCACGATAGCGCAACCGAACGTTCCAGGGCGGGCTGGGCCATCGAGCCCCTGTTGGCGATCCGTGGGCGAGTGAGGGTCGGTGCATGCAACATGAGCCGATCCTTGTCCCGGGTTGTTTGAAGGGGCCCCAGGACACACAAATAAATACACACACAAATAAAAATATTCCCCATATTTTCCCATATTTTCTGGGGAATCGACGATTAATTGTGTCTGTGTGCTTCTTTCCCTCCTGATTGTTTTCGGGCCATAACTCGGGCCTCGGGCGGCCGCGCGGAAGGATCCGGGCCCCCGCGGAGCGCCCTCGGCGGGGCGCAGCTGCCGGAGAGCAGCCCGAGGCTGCAGCACCGCGGAGCTTGACGGAATCGACCGAACACCACCTCGAGCGTTCCGTGCGCGACTGGGCATCGGTGCCTCCCCCCCGGAGCCTCTCGGCTCCTAGCGCTGCCCCCAACCCAACCTCCCGTGCACGAGCAGAGGCGCGGCGCCTTCATCACCTCTCCTCCTCGCCGCCTTGCGGCGCCGTCTACCTGGCACGGGCAGCCCAGCCCAGCAAACCAAAGTCGTGCGTTGGCAGGACTAGGTTCAGTGGGGCCTGGTTTAATGATGTGTACGGGGGGACGCCCCCTCGCCCCGTTCAACTAACCGGAACCTGGAAAAACCCTAGCTACGGCACACCTGGTTTAGTGGTTCTGGCAAATTTAGAGGCTCCAGGGCCTTACCAATAACCAGGTCCCCTGGCCTGGGGCCCTGGCCATACCCGGCAAAAGGCCACGTGCGAGGGCGAACACGGCTCGCCATGCTGCGAAGTCCTGAGATCTCGGCTGCGCATCTTCTTCGCAATGGGCGGTCTTGCCTTCTTTCGGGCCCTGGAGGCACTCACAGGTCGATCCGGCTCGAGAGATGGCCGCAGAAGTTGGAAAGATGGGGCTGGGACTCTGGTAGTGATTTTCGCAAGGCTACGTTGTTTTCACACAAGTGGATCTCAGTGGTCGCAACACTCAGGCATTACTTTGACCATCTGGTTGTACGAGGGCAACAAGCGAACATCTTTGAGCATGGGCAACTCCTCATCGCCTCGGAGATACACGAGAGCGGACACAACCGGAGGACCACCAGGCATCGAGTGCCTCGGGTACACTCCAGAGTCTTCTGGAGTGCTCCGGAGCGCGCTGGAACGATTTAGCCCCATCATCCGACGAACACCCGAACTATCTGGATGCGGGGCTCAACCAGATCTGGAACGCGCTGGAACGATTTGGCCCTATCACCCGAGGAACACCCGCACTCTCTGGAGGCGGGGCTCAATCAGATCTGGGAGCCCCGAGACACGTGAGCATTCGAGAGACCAACGGCGCCAGCTTGCTTTTGCTCGAGGCAGCAGCACCTGCCAGCAGCAGAAGCCATCGGGCCTACGCACACGCCTCCCGCGGGTTTGGCCTCTGCAGTCCGTGGGCCCCAGAGCTCTCGACGCCCTCCTTGGGGTAAACCTGCCATCCCATAGAAGGACGGCTTTTGAGTTAAAAAACACTCTTCGAGTTTTGTAACACGGCTTTTAATTCAAAAACCAAGTCTGGAATTCAATAACAAGTTTCTTGAATGCAAGAACCAGTTTTTTAATCAAAAAACCAGTCCCCTTGGGGTAAATATGTCATCCCATCGAAACAAAAACGCCATAAACATAAGCTTTTGGCGCTCCGCGCGGCTTTCTTGGTTCTGCGCTGGACCCCCCTCCCTGGCGCGCGGAGCGCGCCAGGGGCGGCGCCGGAGGCGCCGCCAGGGGCGCCCAGCGCAAATCGAAGAAATCTCTGCAGAGCACCAAAATTGTACGCTCATGCGTTCCTTCTTCTTATTATCCTTCTTTTTCTTCTTCTTCTTCTTCTTCTTCTCCGAATCCCAACCACCTCCTGATGCTCCCAAAACTGCCACAGGAGGCCGAAATATAGGAGAACCTCAGGATTCACAACCTCAATTCGCTGGAAGGCGGCCCCGAGCCCTCAGCCTGAGAGGCTGGCCCCCAGGGAGCGCCAAGAAGCCTCCAAGACGCCCCCAAGAAACACCCAAGATGCGCCCAGGGAGCCCCAAGAGGCCCCCAGGAGCCTCCCAACAAGCCCTCCAAAAGGGTCCCAATCGGCTCCACAATTACACCCCAGACGCACCCGATAGCGCTCTGGAGAGACCCCAAGAAGCATCCCTGACGCATTTTTGTAAAACAGGGCTAGGATCGGGATAAATCGCTCCAGAGCGTTCCGGAGCGCTCTCAGACGCTCTGGAGCGGCCGCGGCGCCCAATACATCCTCCAAACCCGCCGATTCTCAGAGATTTCGAGTTATCCCGATCCGATTTTGTCCCGATCTTCGCGTCGTTTTATTTTGACCCACGTCAGCATCGTCGTCGTCGTCGTTCAGGGTCGGCGGCACCGGCCGTACGGCCTCTCTAATATAAGAGAGTGCCAGGATTCACAACCTCAGTCCGCCGGCAGGCGGCCCCGACACCGACTCACGGGCGACATGACTGTTCATGCCTCACACGCTTGCCCCTCGAACTGGCTCAACGACAGACAAGCGCATTCGGAAAGTATCTGGCGCCATAATATACATGTATGCATATTTATAGGTATCAAACACACATACATACATACATACATACATACAAACATACATAGATACATACATACATACATACATACATACATACATACAGACAGACAGACAGACAGACAGGCAGGCAGGCAGGCAGACAGACAGACAGACGGACAGACAGACATACAGAGAGGCAGACATGCATGCATGCATGCACACAACCAAACCAACATACATACATACATAAGTGCATACATACAAGCATACATGCATACATACAAACACACACACACACACACATATATAACTACAAACATACATACATACATACATACATACATACATACATACATACATACATACATACATACATACATACATACATGCATGCATACATACAGACATACAGACATATACACACATACATACATACATACACATACATACATACCTGCCTGCCTGCCTGCCTGCCTGCCTGTCTGCCTGTCTGTCTGTCTGCCTACCTACCTACCTACATGCATACATGCATACATGCATACAAACATACACATACATACATAATTGTATGCATACATGCATGCAAACACACATACATACATGCATCCATACATACAGGCATGCATGCATACATACATACAACGGGCATACCTGTATCGAAGAGGATCGGGCTTGCCGAGACGGATCTCGAAGAGGGTCGCTGGGATCGGGATGGACGCCAGGGGGGGGGAGATCGAAAAGGATCGATCGGACTGAGGCGTGTCCTGGGTGGCACGGGGGCCCGCCGAGCGGTGTGGCGACGACACCGCGTGGCGAGTTGGTGGGGATTCGGGGTCACCTCGCGGCTGTTGGCCCTCGTGCCGTCCTCCGAATATATCTCTCGGGCGTCTGAGGCCTCCCGGGGCCGCAAAGCCCTGCGGCCACGGACCGCGCGCGGGGAGGTCTTCTGGGACTTCGAGGCCCCCAGGCGGCCCGTCACCGCAATCCCTCGCATGCTGGCACCCCCTATCGGGCTTCTGCTGGCCTGGGTCGGCGCACGCCCGAGTCAGTCGGGCTTCGCAGAATCCTGCCAGGTCCTGCAGCAGCCTGCGGGGTCCTGCACGCAAGCCTGGGTCAATGCACCCCTGGCTATACGCAGGATCCTGCAAGATCCCGCGCTCCAGCTGACCCAATTTGCGTTGACCCCCGCGAGGTGGCGCCCCCGAGACCCCCCCCGCCCAAACCAGGCGGCTGTGAAACCTGTCAAAGGGCGCGCACCCCTCGCAGCATGGGTTAAGTCGGGCATGTCCCTCTACAGGCGGAGTATGCAAAAATAGTCAAACATAGTCTGGGGACGATCCTTTGTTAAGATGTTTGACCATGTGTGAAAATGTTGACTATTTGTTCTTTTTTCCTCCAACATCCGCCTGTAGGAGGGCATGCCCGACCTAAAGGATAGGCCGCGGACGGGCTGCTCGCCCTGGGCCGCCCCTGGGGGTGCACGGGTTCCCCCGGGGCCTCAGGCGACCCGAGGAGGAGAAGGAGGAGGAGGAGGAGGAGGAGAGGGAGGGGGAGGGAGGAGGAGGAGGATGAAGAGGAGGAGTAGGAGGAGGAAGAGAAGGAGGAGGAGGAGGAAGAGGAGGAGGAGGAGGAGGGAGGAGGAGGAAGAGGAGGAGGAGGAGGAAGAGGAGGAGGAGGAAGAGGAAGAAGAGGAGGGGGGGGAGGAGGAGGAGGAGGAGGACGGGTCGCCTAACCCCTTCGGAGAGTCCCTCCACCTGGGGAGAGGGGGGCCTCCCGAGGGCCCCCGCAGGGAGGCCGGGGCGGCCAGAGACACTGCAGCTGTCGGCATCGGGGCAGCCCAGCTCCGCGCACCGCGTCCCCGGGCTGCGCGACGCACGGTTCGCTCCGCGCCCCCAGGGGGGGAGGGGGGCCTGTCCCCCTACAGGGGGATTCTCGACGAAAAATGAAAGATACCCCACAAATACTGAAGAAATGCTCCAAAAATAATCTGGGGGTCATTTCTTGAATATTGTTTGACCTTTTGGGGGTATTTTGGTGGTATTTTCTGTTTTTCGTCGAAAATCCCCCTGTAGGGGGACACGCCCACATAGCCCCAGGGGGGGAGGGGGGGAGGGGGGCCTGGGCAGCGGTGTCCCTGCGACGCCGGAGAGGTCTCACGACGACGGACGTCGTGGGGAGGCCTCCAGCTGGGGGCTTCCGCAGGCGAAGGCAGCCGAACGCGGGAGACTGGCTCAGAGGACAGGACAGGACAGGACATCAGCATAAGGGTGTCAACGTCAACACGCCTAGACTGGTGCCTTGCACGCGTCTGCAGCATCCCTTGCGATTTGGTTGTGCAACAGCCCTGACCTATCACTAGGGCTGGCATGGGGGCATACCCCGAAGCTACAAGGGGCGAGCTCCGAGGTGGCCCCGTAAGAGAGGCTCGCTACCTTGTGAGTGCGACTCTCTGCGGAACAGCACGGGGGAAGCAGCTGGTGGCCCTTCCACTGGCTCAGAGGAGGAGGAGGAAAAGGAGGAGGAGGAGCAGGAGGAGGAGGAGGAGGAGGAGGAGGAGGAGGGGGGGCAGGAGGAGCAGGAGGAGGAGGAGGAGGAGGGAGGAGGAGGGGGGGGCTCAACGCCCTGGAGCAATGACCTGATAGATCGGCGAGGCGCCCCCGACTGGGAACCCCCAGGCTCCTGGGCTGGCCGGGCCGCCCAAGCCCCGATCTGCGAGGACTGGGGGACTGGGGTGGTGGGCTCGCTTTCCACCACCACCACCACCACCATAAGTCGGAGGGGGAGGGGGTCTTCCTCCTCCTCCTCCTCCTCGTCTTCTTTCTCTCCTTCCTCCACCTCCTTCCCCCTCCAACTTGTGGTGGTGGTGGGGTAAAACAGGCCCATCATGGGGGCCGATGTTTTTCCCCCCCTGAGCCAGCCCCCCCACCGTCGACGCCCCGGCTACGAGAGCGGCGCTCCTGCACCGTGCCTTGCTTGGACTCCCTGCAGGCTCGGCTCGAACGCGACACGGCGCGTACCGTTTCGGTCCTGAGGGCCGGGAAACGATGCACCGTAGAATCTCGAGAGTCGACAACGCCTCGGGAGACGTGCGCGCGGCACGGTGCGCCAAAGCCGCTCGCGGACCCGAGCAGGCCCGAGAACTCCCCGTGTGAGCCCCCCCCCGTGGGAGGCCTCCAGAGCCTACGCAGAGGCCCCCCAGATGGGGTCCGAGCAGATGAAATCGAAAGAGTTCTCGGCGACGCATCCGCGACGCATCGGCGGCGTCGGCGTGGAGAAAATCGGGCTGAACATCGAGCCGCATCGCCGATGCCTCGGCGATGCGGCTCGATCCTCAGACCCCGCGTGCTCAGACCCCCGCCCAGGAGGCCCAAAAGAGACCAGACGGCGTCGACGAGGCCGGACGACGCTGCGGGCCGCTGGAAACTGCTCGGGAGGGCGCGGGCCCGAGGCCCCGTGGAGGCCCCGCGGAGGGCCCACGGGGAGCCAGAGCGTGCAGAGACGAGGACGACGACCCAAGCAGCTGGCGCCTCGATCGGGAAGATGTGCGAGGCTCGAGTTCTGTGAGCTGGAGCTTCTGGGCCACCTCGTCATGACTTCGCGGATCGCTCCCCGCGCTGCGCGGCGCGCGGCACTTCATCACCCTCGCGCCGCCGCCCTCGGCCAGGGCGCCTCTCCAACACAAAATGCGATGCGCGAGACGCGATTGTATGTGTGCCCCTGGAGGCTCAGTGGGACCGTTTGTTCACCGCTTCCAGCAAAATGTCCCTTGAAAATGGAAACGGCAAAAAAACGGCGACCGGAAACGGCAAAAAAACGGCTCCAGGATTGGAGCCGGAGCCAGAACCGGTCAAACAACGGCGCCGGAACAGGTAAAAAAACGGCGTCGGAACCGGCAAAAAAACGGCATAACGGAACCGGTAAAAAAACGGCCCTGTCGTTTCCAGGGCCCACTAAGCCTGGAGGTAACCTAGACTTCGCCTGACGGGGCCATCAGAAAGATGAGAGGACCTCGTCTGAAAACAGGCACGACCTCCTGCTGCACAAATCTCACAAACACTGGGCCGTCTAACCTTGCACCGTGACCGCCACAAAGCGGTGGCAGACCCAGGCTAAGACGTATTGTTAGAGGACAGTCGCGCTCAGATTATTCACGCTCGGACTCACGTACATTCATACTCACACAAACTAAAACTCACCCACACAAGCATACTAAGTCATACTCGCAACCCTCGAACACATGTAAATTCATGTTCGAACTAACATGATCACTAAGACGCAGCAAGTATGGCACTTGGGCGCCCTAACAGAGAGCCACCAGGGGGTACTGCACGGGCCATTTCGCGCCCAGATTGTGGGGATGTCTCGAGCGCAACAATTTGTTTTGGAAGCATACGTTTCTTCCAGAGCCCCATGACCACCACGATGTAGCAAACATCGCACTTGATCGCCCCAAAAAGAGAATGCCAGGAGGTATTGCTCAGGCTCTTCTCGCACCAAGATCACGGGGGTGTCTCAAAGGAAACGCTTACTTTTGAGAGCAGACGTATTTCTTAGCAGAATTCATGACCACCGCTGTGTAGCAAGCGTGGCAGTTGGGCCACCCGGAGGGGAGCCGCCAGGAGGTACCACACGGACCCGTTCGCGCCTAGAATGTGGAAATTTCTGAAGTGAAACGTTTGGCTTGGGAGGTACACGTGTCTGTATACTATGCCATATTAGCACCGCGATGTAGCACACATAAGATCTGGGGCGCCCAGGCGGGAACCGACAGCCGGTCTGACAGACTCGTTTACAATCGAACTCGCTCGCACTCGGTCGCACAGCCTCGCTCATTCTCAACCGCGAAATAAACTCGCAAGAACGCAGTTGCATACACACACACGTATGTATATATAATAGATGTATAAAGATATCCGCGTCGAATAAATGACGGCTCCGAGGACCCGAAACCGGTCTCCAGAGGCCAGAGATAGCGACAAACCGATCGCCTCCGTTTATCCCCAACCAGTGATTGTGATTAAGGGGAACTTCTTTTTCACTGTGGAATTAGATTGGTCTGCCCAGGCTTCGCCGCATCGCCAACTGTGGCCGACTCGTGGCCGCCTCGTTGCCGCCCACTTGGGGGGTCCACCGAGGCTTCGCCGCGTCGCCGCCCGTTGCCACCCCGCTGCCGCTTGGGTAGCTTTCACCACACAGCACACACTTTCCCAGCGCACGAAATTCGTTTTCTCTTTGTTTCCCAGGGCAAATGACACCACAGATGAGGAAAAAAACGCGTCTCAAATGCCACCTCTTTGTTGCACCATACCGAGCACTCCATGCCCCTTTGTTGCACCATACCGAGCACTCCATGCCCCTGGACCCCTTTTCAAAGCAGGTAGAAACAGAACACGGGTGGCACTACATATGAGGAATAAAACGCGTCTCAAATGCCCACCACACAGCACACACGAAACAGCTTACACAACATGGCCCAGGCCACACAGCTCACACCACACGGCTTACGCAACATTGCTCACGCCACACGCAGCTCACAGCGCACAGCACACACCGCACAGCTTCCGCCTCCACGGTGCAAGAACTCCCCGCTCGGGGCCCACGCCGGCCAACACTGCTCGAACCCTCGGACGTCTGCGGCGGCGGCGGCGTCGGCGCGGCGCCGCGCCTGTGCGCTGCAGTTCCGCAGGGGGGAAACGGGCCCCGAAGGAACCGGGCCCTGGAGCCCGGGGGGCCGTCGCCCAAGGCGAGACCTTTTTATCCTGACTCGTCTGCTGGCGGTCCCGGGGCCCGTGCAGGGCCCCGAGGACCCGAGCACGGCGGAAAACCTCGGGAGCAGCTTCCCTCAGGACCCGCTTTCTCCCAGGGCGGCCAGTGCTCATCTTTTTGTCCCCCTGCGGCGGCCTCCCCGGGAGCGGGCTGCGCAAGGGGGGGGGGGCGGCTCAGCTCCACATCCTCATCGGCTGGGCCTCCGTGTTGAGGATGAACTCCTCGGATGGCCCCGCGGCGAACAGGGGGCGAGGGGGTGGGGAGGAGGCATGGAGGAGGGGGGAAAGGCAGGGGGGGGGACAGGGAGTAGGACGAGGAGGGGTGAAGGAGAGCAGGGACGGGGGGAAGGAGGAGGGACCAGGAGGGGGACGAGACGAGGAGGAGTGCGGATACGCTGTGCGAGGAGGGAGAGGCTGTAGGAGGATGGGATGGGGTGAGGAGGAAGAGTGAAGAAGTAAGGGAAGGAGAGGGGAGGCAGATGAGAAACACTGAGGAACTTCCTCCTCCTGGCTTACCCGTCCTCCCCCTCTCCTGCTCCTCCTCCACCTCCTCCTCATCCTCCTCCTCCTCCTCCTCCTCCTCCCCCCCTGCTCCTCCTCCTCCTACTTTTCCTCCCTCCTTGTCACTCTTCCACCCCCGCGCGCAAGGCGCGAGATGGAGCACGTCAACGGCGCAATGGTGTCATAAAAAGTGAGGCAGCGCGTAACCATCTTTGCCGATCAGTTACAGCTCGAGCCTCGCACGCAACTGCGAGCTGAAACGAATTGCAACATGCCGCTGCGTGCCGGCGCTCCATAGCAATAGCTGGCGCAACAAGCCACGGCAAGAGGGGCAGCCTTCTAAGAAAGTAAGGACCCTACAAGGACCGCCATTCGGTGCTGGATCTGGGGAGGAGCTGCAAGTTTCAAGTGTGTGTGTATGTATCTCTCTCTATACATGTATATGTGTATGTGTATATATATATATATAAATCAATTCGCCAGCGTGCACACCAGGCAGTGTGTTCTAGCATACTGTGTGCTGCAATCTACGTGGTGCAGTCTATGAGGTGCAATCTATGTGGTGCAATCGATGTGGTGCAATATATGAGGTGCAATGTATGAGATGCACTGCAGAGCAACGCAAAGCAATGCCAAGTAATGCAAAGCGGGCGGCGACGAGGCGGCGGGCGGCGGCCGCATGGCGGCCAGAGCGGCCCGCAGGCCCAGACGACGGGCGGCGACGAGACGGCGACGGCGGCCTCACGGCGGCCAGATCGGCCCGCAGGCCCAGCTCCTCCATCTACAGGTACAGATGTGCATGTACACATGCGTATGTGTATATGTACATGTTTACATACACGTATCTATAATCCCAGGGCAGAGGGAGCAGCACGCAAAGCAGGCCGCCCCCGTGATCCCCCAGGGCCCGCGTCCGCGCACGAGCCGCAAGGCAGCATCAAGCAACGTCGGTTCGGGAAATCGGATCGTATCGGGACATGCGTCAGATCGAGCAGGTTCACCTCCGCGCGCCCCCGCCGCGACCCTGTCGGACGCACCTCGTCGAGGGAATATAGCACAGGGGCGATTGTAAGAGAAGCCGTCCGCGAATTGAATGGGCGTTTCGCTCGATGGATCCTCCAGCAGCACGAGCATCGAACGCACCCCTCACGCAGATCGCGGCGTCAAGGCCAACACAACTAATGGGATAACCAGCACTAAACATACAAACGTCAAACACCTTATGAAGTTCAATGACGGTGCGCATACACATTGAACTACCAGTGGCTCTCTGATGGTTTTCTGTGTAGCTCTTCAACATTGTACGAACAACCTTCAACATTGCACGGGAATCCAGCGAACGCGCAAATATGTGGGAAAGCATGTGGTGTCCGTTGGTTCCCTGCGTAGTCATCCAAAGTTGTTCGATGCCCATAGGAGTAGTTCTCAAGATTTCGTCTAATCGCAGGCTGCGTCACCCCATAGGTCGCCCCTATCTGCTTTTGCATGAGCCTGGGCACGCTCGTGCCACTTGTACATATGCCTCTCTCTCTCTCTCTTTCTTTCTTTCTTTCTTTGTTTTTTTTTTTGTTTCTCTCTCTCTCTCTCAATATATATATATATAGATACACACATGCACATATCCAGTAGCGTGCCTCTGGGCAGGGAGCGGGCATGTCCGCAGGTCCTCTGCCGAATCCTCTACCCCCCCCCGAACGTAGCCAATCCCGACCCTGACCTGATCCAGGCACCGTCGACACTGCGCCGAAGCTAACCTGACCAATAAAGCTAACGTGGCCAACGGCTCGGCGACACCAGTGTGTCACGCGCGCGCTGTAGCAAATGATGCACCAGAATAGGGCGACACAACAAAATGCAATGCAAACGAGACAACTGTATCAGTAATCCCTCTTCGTTTCCAAAAAAGAATCTGGCCGGCGCTGAAGCGAAAACAAATTTCGCAATCATGGGCGGCTCTGTGGCGAGAGCAATATTCTCAATCATGGATGTAGCCAGCGCTAAGGCGAGAGCAACTTTCGCAATCGTGGATGTAGCCAGTGCTGAGGCGAGACTCAAATTTGTAATCGTGGATGTGGCTGGCGCTGATGCGACAGCAACATTTGCAATCATGGTTGTGGCCGGCTCTGCGGCGAGAGTAATGTTCACAATCGTGCATGTAGCCAGCGTCGAGGCGAGAGCAGCATTCGCAATCGTGGATGTTGCCAGCGCTCAGGCGACAGCAACACTCGCAACCATGGATGTGGCCAGCGTTGAGGCGAGAGCAACGTTCGCAATCATGGATATGGCTGGCGCTGAGGCGACAGCAGCCGTCGTAGTCGTGGATATGGCTGGCACTGAGGCGACAGTGACGTTCGTAATGACGGATGTGACCGGCACTGAAGCGAGGGCGACGTTCGCAATCATTGACGTGGACTGCGACCATGCTAGCAAAAATTCACAATCATGGAAGCGGCCTGCGCTGCGGCGAAACAAACATTCCCAGCCACGGATGCGGCCTGGTGTAAGGCCAACGCAAAGTGGATATAAAAGATGTGGCCACTGGCGAGGCGAGAACATCCGTCGTAATCGTGGGCGAAGTGTCCCATTGCACACGCGCGCTGGCTCTAGCGCAACCAGCACTGAAACGAGCAGCGCCAGAAACAGCAGCACCATGCGCAGCAGCAACCACACCAACGCGAGCAACAGCAGAAATAATAGTGCAAGCTACACAAACGACTCCGGCAGCACCTTTCTGACCAACAGGACAGCAAACAACACCACCACGCGCATCAACACCAGCGAAACGAGCAGCACCAGCATAACGACCACGACGGGGAATGGAGCAGCAACACCACGCGACACAGCACAAGCGCCAGCAGCAGCAACATTGCGACGACAACGACAGCAAACAGCAACACCAAAGCGAGAAACACATTCTCAATGAAGGCCATCGCCAGCGCCAAGGCGACAGCCACATTTTCAATCAGAGATGTGGCCCACGCACAGGCGAGAACAACGCGCTCAAGCGCCTAGGCGGCAACAACACGTTCAATCAGAGATACGTCGCCGGCGCTTGAGCGACAGCAGAACTTTCGATCAAACATGTGACATGTGGCCCACGCACAGGCGAGAATGACATGCTCAATGTAGAAGTCGCCAGCGCCTAGGCGAGAGCAACATTTTCAATCAGAGATAAGGCCCACGCTAAGATGAGAACATCACGCTCAATGAAGGGTGTCGCTGGCGACTAGGCGACAGCAACATTTTTCAATCAGAGATTGGCTGGCGCCAACGAGAGAAACACATTCTCAATGAAGGGCATCGCCAGCGTCAAGGCGACAGCCACATTTTCAATCACAGATGTGGCCGCCGCAAAGGCGTGGACAACACGCTCAATGAAGGTGTCGCCGGCGCCTAGGCGACAGCAACACTTGCACTCAGCGATGTGGCCCACGCACAGGCGACTACAACGCGCTCAATGAAGAATGCCGCCGGCGCCTGGGCGACAGCCACATTTTCAATCAGAGACAAGGCCCACGAGAACAACACGCTCAATGAAGTATGCCGCGGGCGCCTAGGCGCCAGCAGCATTTGCACTCAGAGATGTGGCCCACGCACAGGCGAGAACAACACGCTCAATGAAGGATGTCGCCGACGCCTACGCGAGAACAACACTTTCAATCAGAGATGTGGCCCACGCGCACAAGCAGGAGCATCATTCCGAAACAATCGGGTCGCCAGAATGCAGGTGTCACACCCATTCCGCGCGGGCGGGGCTCGGTGTCACCGAGGTCCGGGCTACCTTGGGTGGGTAGTCTACGTTAGGGGGGGGGTGTTGCAAGCCTCAATCCTCACTCCTGAAGAATCCCCCAGGGGCCCCGACCCCAAATTCTCAATTCTCCGGGGGCTTACCGCGTCTTGTCGGAGCTTTTCGCTAGACTTTTTCGAAGCCAAGAGGGCCCCTAACTAGACGGGCCCAGAGGGCCGCAAGAGGCCCCGAAGACGGTCCAAGAGGGCCCCGAGTCGCCGAACGATCGGCTCCAAGACGGCCCAAAGACTGCCCAAGACGTCCCAAGAGGCCTCCAAGAACACGCCCAAGAGGGCCCCAAGTGAGCAAATGATGTTCCATGAATGTTTGAAAGATTTGGGCGTTATCTCCTTTTCGTCGTCTGGACGCTCCGAGACGGCCAAAAAGGCCTCCTGAACCGCCCTCAGGCGGCCCAACAGGCCCTCGAAGAGCGCCCCAAGACGGCGCAAGAAAGCGCCAAGGGAGCCCAAGAGGCCCTCAAGACGGCCCAAGGGGGCCCAACGATAGCCCCGAGAAGGGCCCAATAGAGAGAGAGAGAACACGAACCGAAAATCAGAGTCTTCCGCCCCAAAGAGGCCCCTGGGAAGCCCCTGGGAGGCCCCAAGAGGCCCCCACGACAATACCTACAAGAGGCCCCGAACATGCTCCAAGAGGCCCCAAGACGGCGCAGGAGGGCGCCAAGGGAGCCCAAGAGGCCCTCAAGACGGCCCAAGAGGGCCCAACGATAGCCCCAAGAAGGGCCCAAGAAAGGGAACACGAACCGAAAATCTGAGTCTTCCGCCCCAAGAGGCCCCTGGGAGGCCCCTGGAATGCCCCAAGAGGCCCCCAAGACAAGCCCCCAAGAGGCCCCGAACATGCTCCAAGAGGCCCCAGAACGGCACCCGAAAGGCACCAAAACAGCCCTTAAGAGGCCGAAGGCCATTCGATAAACATGTTGTCTTTTTATTTGTATATATATATACAGATGTACAGAGCTGTCGCACGCTCAGCGCGCGCTCAGGTTCAAGCGCAGGCTGGGGCCACGTCTGAATCCCCGATTGTGGTGGCGAGCATGGGGAGCAGAGTCTCCTCCTCCTCCTCCTCCTCCTCCTCCTCCTCCTCCTCTTCCTCCTCTCCTCCTCCTCCTCCCCCTCCTCCCCCTCCTCCTCCTCCTCCTCCTCCTCCTCCTCCTCCTCCTCCTCCTCCTCCTCCTCCTCCTCCTCCTCCTCCTCCTCCTCCTCCTCCTCCTCCTCCCCCCTCCTCCTCGTACGCGAGCACAGAACCGAAGGCCCCGAACAACATCACCGGCAGCATCAACAGCACCACCAGCAGCCGGGGACACGCCTCTGAGACGCCAGAGCACGAGGCCGAGGTGGGCGCCGCCGAGCTGGTTCTGGGACCCCTCTCTTCCTCTTCGGGGGGGGGGGGGGGGGAGCGCCTCCCCTCAACTCAAGGGGCCCAAGGACACAGAAATAAATACACACAAATAAAACTATTCCCAATATTTCCTAGTATTTTCTGGGTTTTGTCTCCCCGCCCAATTCCAATATTTTCCAATATTTTCTTGGGGATCGACGATTAATTGTGTCTGTGTTTTTTTCCCTCCTGATCAGCCCCCTCCCCTGGGTCTGGACGAAGGCTTTCCGCAGGTCGCTCGAGCGTCGGAGGTGGCCCTGATTAGGTGACTCCAAAGAGGGCCTCAGAGACCAGGCTGGCCTCCCAGATCGTTGCAGGCACCCCAAGATGGTTCAGGATTTCTCCAGCATGCCTCCAAGAGTTCGGGCGGGCATTTCCCCCTACAGGCGGACTTTGGACGAAAACTAAAAACTACTCAAAACATACCCCCGAAGAGTCAAAAAATAGTAGAACAATCGTCCCCAGACTATTCTTTCGAATTCTTTGAGAATTCCTCCTGTAGAGGGACAGGCCCGACTTAATCCAAGAGCCCTCGAGACCCGGCGCCTCCCCTGGAGACCTGCTCGGGCCAGCAGCGGCACCCGCGCCGTGCCGCCCGCGTTGTGTATTGCCGGTGCCCTCGGCGCCCGCCGTCCTCGAGGCTCAGGGCGTTCCTCGGCGCGAAGATGAGGTAGAAGTACTTCAGGGTCTCCGCCAGCCAGAAGCTCTCCTGCGAGTCCTCTCGTCGCGCGCGCGCACCCCTGCGAGCACATGTGCCGCCCAACTTCTTGAGGGGAGGCGCGTGAGGGTCGCAAGCTCTCAACTCCATTTCGCAGTGGCGGTGCCATCTTGCCAATGCGTTCAAGACGAGCGGCTGCAAGTACCGCGCCGCACACCACAAGGACGCAAGGCAAGGGTGCAATACAACTGGGCAGAAAGAGCAGCAAGGCGCCTCGCACTCGCGGCCAACCATTCCAGCTCTCTCCAAGGCTTGGGGGTCGCTTCGGAGGCGCTCCAGGTGTCTCTCTGGGAGGAGTCCTCCACCAGCGCTGAAGGGGCTGGGCGGCTGCAGGAGAGGAGCGAGAAGAGGGCAGCGCAGTGGTGCTCTGGGTCGTCGGGGTCCTCCCTGCACCCGAACACGCACGACTTCTGCGCAACCCGCACACGGTACGACGCGGGCCACCCCTCGATCAGTGTTCTGCAGGGCGAATGGATCGGGCTGTCGGGAGGTCGGCGCACGACGTCCGCAGCACTTCCCGCCAGACCTCGTCGCAACGCTCACGAGCGACGCCTGACCTCACAAGACGCGGAGTGGTGAGATCCCAAATGTGCAGGCACGATGACATTCAAGCGCGCTGCGCTGTAGGCCACACCCTGCGCACCTGAGCCTGAGACGGTGTGACGCTGCGGAAGCTGTGTCATGCAGACGTGGCCGAAACGCGGCCGGGCAATCGACACACACACATGTGTGTGTATACACACATATATTTTGGCATGCCTTTGTGTACGTGTATAAAGAAAAAGGAGTACTTGAAGAGAGAGGGGGGGTCAAAAACGAAGCGAGAGAGAAAGAGAGAGAGAGAGGGAGCTAAAGAGAGAGAGAGAGAGAAACAGACAGAGAAGGACGGACAGATGACAAAGCGAACGCGGGAGAGCGAACCCAGCAGCCATTGGACAAGAGAGTCATGGAGCAGAAGACAACCATGAACACATGAAGCTGCAGACGCACAACACACACACACGCACACACACACACACACACACAAACACCGCAACCCAAATATTGGGCGACCCCTTCCTTGAACGTCGCCGGGACTTTGCGCACGTCGGCCACCGCGGAGTATCCGAAGCGAGTCTTGCAGTGCTTCTGAAACGCACTGAACATCTCATAAGCCCAGCGGCGGTACTTCGGATCTGCCCGCATGTGCCCATCCCCATCTACTCCCCACTCCCAGCCTCCTCCTCAAGGCCACTGCTGCACTTCTTCCAATCCTTAAAGTCAACCCTTTCCTTATCGTCACCGCGGGCGCTCTCGCTGCGCCTTTACTGTTCACTAGGATCACTCCTGCGTGCACTCCTCTTATCTCTGTCGCATTTCTTTCACTGGTGCGTCCGCGCAAACGTCCATGCCAGTTATTTGTCTCGTAAACTTTAACTTACATTTTGAACGGCTGCGTGCGTATTGCGTTCGTGAAAGAACTCACTGCTTCTACCGCTCCCTCAAGAGGGACCGACTCAGGCGTGAAAGGATAGTATCACTATTGACACCTCCCACCCTCCCCACCCGCGCCCGCACGTCTGCGCCAAAAGGAAACTGCCCGCCGCAAAGAGCGAGCCCCAGGTGTCCAGAAATCATACCATGCGATTACTGGCAGGAAGCAACTCCTCGGATGCCTTCGTGGGAAAGACGAAAGGCTAGTAAGCCACATTCAGAGGCCATCAAGCGGGATTAAGCAAGATGTAGCGGGACTCCCAAATGAAGCGAGATTATATTGGATCAGCACGGTTATGCCAGCGCAGATGTTGGATGCGCGCATTCCTTCTTACCACGCCGATTGCAACCCCTGCTTCGACTCCACGCCATGAAGGGCTGTCTCGCTTCCCAATACAACGACAACACTGTTTTGTTCACGCAACTGGTCATCGCCATTTCGCTTCAGGCCTGCGCTCGCACAAGTGAAAGTCCACTACGGTGGCAACAAATGCCATTGCCACTCTGGGCAGCGTGGAGGATCTCTCCGCCGCGGAGCGCGCAAAGGAGGCGGCGCCGGAGGCGCCGCCAGGGGGTGCCCGGCAAAGGTCCAAGACATCTGCGCAGATCGCCAGACGTTCACGCTCATGCCGTTTGCTCTTCTTCGCATCCCAACCGCCTCCTGATGCTCCTGAAACTGCCACAGGAGGCGATTCACAACCTCAATTCGCCGGAAGGCGGCTCCTGAGGGCCTCTTGGGGCTCCCTGGGCGCATCCTGGGTGTTTCGTAGGGGCGTGTCGGGGGCTTCGTGGCGCTTCCTGGGAGCCTCTCAGGCTGGTCCAGCCCCCCCTTCTTCTCCTTCGCGGAGGGGCTCTTCCCCACTCCACGCCGAAGACTCCCCAGACTCCCCCCTCGCCTGGCCACGTGAAAGGAGCCGTCGTGGGGTCCTCTGGGGACCTCTTGGAACCCTCTTCGGAGTCCGCCTTGGGCTGTTTGTGAAGCTATGGAGCACGAAACGCGATTGTCCCTGTTAGCCTTCTCGGCATTTAGAAGGACTTGGAGCCCTCGTGGGGCAATCTTGGGCATCTCGTTGGGCCGGCTTGAACACATATCTGATTCCCTGCCCCCGCCCCACCCCATGGGATGGGGTTCCAGGGTCCCTCGGCCCTCCCCAAAGATGGGATGGGGAGGGACGACGGCGACTCCATGAAGTACTTCTCACAACCCCACGATCACAGGGGGGGGTCCACCACGCCACGCCGCCAGACGGGGGGGGGGCCAATCGCACGGGGGGGAACGGGAAGGCATCAGCATGAAAGGGTGTGGGGCCCGGAACCCTGGACCATGTAGGATTCAGGGCTCCAGGCCCACCCGCCCCTCCCATTGCTAATGGGATCGTCCCCTCCTCCCCCCGCTGGATGGGTACGCCCGCGAGCCTCCCGAAGGCCTCGCGAATGGATCCCGCCCCCCCTTGTTCGTGGCTCTGTGGGCTTGGCGTGGTGGAGGGGTGTGCTGGTGCCCCCGCCCCTCGCCCTGTGGGTGTGCATGGGCGGCCGCGAGTTGCCGAGAAACCGAGAGCCGACCGAACCGATGACGAAGCCGAAACCGATCGAAACCGAAAGGGGGCCTGCAGAACCGAATCAGCCGACCGAAACCGACCGAACGCGAAAACCGAACTGCAGGGTCACAGTGGCGCAGCCAGCATGCGCTCTCGCTCCCCGCGACGGCGCACCCCTCACACGCTTCATGGCCCCATCAGAGCTCCGCTAAAATTCCCAGCGGCGCAGCCCGCGCGCGCTCCCGCAAGGAACTTCGGCGAACCCCTCGCAAGTTTCGTGGCCCCATAGATGCTCCGCCCAAGGCCCCGGCGGCGCAGCCAGCATGCGCCCCCGCCGCAAATTTCAGCACACACACCCCGCGCGTTTCGCGAAGGTTCAAGTGGCGCAGCCAGCATGCGTCCGCGCTAATTTCGGCGCACCCCTCCCGCGCTTCGCCCCATAAAAGCATAGGCGGAAGTCCAAGTGGCGCAGCCCGCACGCGCCCCCGCGACTCATTTCAGCGCACCCCTCAACCGCAACAAAGAGCACTGGCAGCAAGAAAACTTTTACTCTCCCTGCAAGCGGACCCTGGGGGCCGCCGCCCCGGGTTTTTCTCTCCCCGGGTTTTCGGCGCCTCCAGGGAGCCTCCGGAGCCCCCCGGAACCGAAAAAACATTTTTCGAGGCTTGAAAAATTGTTTTTCTCTCCCCGGGGCCTTCGGCGCCTCCAGGGAGCCTGCAGAGCCCCCGAAAGCATTTTTCGAGGCCTGAAAAATTGTTTTTCTCTCCCCAGGGCCTTCGGCGACTCCAGGGAGCCTCTGGAGCTCCGGAAAGCCATAAAAGCATTTTTCGAGACCCAAAAAATTGTTTTCCTCTCCCCCGGGGCCTTCGGCGCCTCCAGGGAGCCTCCAGAGGCCCCTGACGCCGACAAACATTTTTCGGGGGCTGAAAAATTGTTTTTCTCTCACCGGAGCCTTCGGCGCCTCCATGGAGCCTCCGGAACCCCCACGAGCCGAAAAACAATTTTTCGAGGCCAGAAGAAATGTTTTCTCTCCCCACGGGGCCTTCGGCGCCTCCGGGGAGCCTCCGGAATTCCCGTGGAAGAAGCGTTTTCGAAGCCTGGCCACGGGGCAAGATTTATCCGGCCAGCGATGCGCCACTGCGCGCATCCGGCCAATCAGCCAACCAACCTCCTTGCTCCTGCTCCTGCTCCTCCTCCTCCTGCTCCTCTCCTCCTCCTGCTCCTCCACCTCCTCATCCTCTTCCTCCTCCCTTTCTCTTCAAAGGGAAAGGCCAAGCGGAATCAGATCGGCGCGAATCCGTGGGCAGCGAAACCGAACTGGAAACCGGCGGCCGATTCGATCCCCTGGGCCGGCACGAGGCGCCAGCGAGGCGCCCGCGGCGAAACCGAATCAACCGAAGTAACCGAAGAGGGCGCGACGACGCAGGGACTCCGCAACAACCGAACCGACCGAACCGATCGATTCTAACCGACACCGACGCAACCGAACCGACCGGTTCGCGGCCGTCCATGGTGTGGGGTGGTGCCGCCGTCGTCGTCGTCGTCGCCGTCGTCGTCGTCGTCGTCGTCGTCGTCGTCGTCGTCGTCGTCGTCGTCGTCGCCAACGTCGTCGTCGTCAATATCGTCACGAACGTCGTAGTCGCCGTCGCCGTCGTCGTCCTCGTCGTCGCTCCCCCCTATCCCATCCAAGGGGGGTCGTGCGAAACTCTGTTACCCACCCCACCAGGGGGGGAGGCTGTGAACCCTCGCCCAGGGATCCTCTGTGGCCATCTGGGGCCCCTCGTGGGCCCGTCTTGGAGCTCTCCTGGGGCCCTTTATGAGAACCACCCTGCGGCCTCCACAGCCCTTCGAGAGCAAAGGGGCGAGACGACATAAAAATCATGCACCTCCCCTTCCTTTTCGAAGCAGCTTGACTCCTCGGGGGCCGCGCGGGGGCCACACCTCTCGGGGACCCCGTGGGGGCCAGCTTGGACCGACCCTGAGGCCGTCGTGGCGTGTCTCGTCAGGTCTCGTCTGGTCGTGTGCTGCCTGGTCTCGATGCTCGTGTTGGGCTGCCTTTGGGGTGTCCTGGCCCGTCTTGGGAATGCGGGCGCTCCAGTCCCATATCCAGGTGGTGTGCGGGGTGGGTGGGGAGCGCGCCCCATCGGGGCATCCAGATGGCTCAGTATTATGGCTCACATCTGGCCTCCAAGATGGTTCAAAGGTTGCCTCCAGGCTGCCTCCAAGATGCCACAATACCGCCCTGGGGCTCCAAGCGGCCTCGGATTACCAGGGGGTGCCACCAAAGAGGCCAAACTAATTGAAACACCTGAACGTTTGAATTGAAAGAAGTGTGGCATTCTCGCCGTGTCGTTTCTGACTAGGCTCTGAGGGGTCCAGAGGTCCAAGGCGGCCCCAGAAGCATCCAAGAGCGCCCCAATAGCGTCCCAAAAGGGCTCCAAAGAGAGAGGAGCCTCGGAACGGTATGTGGGCGGTCATCTGCGGGGAAGAAGATCGGGAAAACTACCCCTACGGCTGTGACGTCCAATTCGCTGGCCCAACGGGCCAGCGGCGTGCTAAGATCTCCGGTAACTGGTTAACAATATTTCTAGTTCGCGCGCGCGGGCTGTCCCCTGGGGGTCCCTCGGCGAAAAGTACCCCGACCGCAGCCCGACCACTGCTACCCAAAGATGGTTTTCCTCCTGGAGTCGAAAACATGCTGGTTAGCTTAGGTATGTGTTACGCTTCAAGCGTTGCCATATCCCAGGCTTTGGCTCATATCGCATGAGCAAGAGAGCGAGACGAAGCATGGGATCTGGAGTAAAGGATAGAAGGGGCATCTTCAATGGAAAAGGTATTTTCCGATCTCAGATACAAGTCGTGCGCCTCGGTGAGGCACAGTCATATATTTGGCCGGGCCCGGCTTGAGCCAGGCACGGCAGCGGTACATGCTCGATTTATACCTCGCCTTTAACCTTCTCCGTTTAAAGTCGGAGGGGGAGGAGACGAGCAGGCACCGCACTTCTACATTACGCGGAAAAACAGTGCTAAGCAGCAGCGGCTGCCTACAAGGCAAGGGCGCGCGAGTAGCCTCGCTACCGGCGAGTTTCCTCGCTACTAGAGCGCACCTGCACGCGGGTTTCCCCGCTAGCTCGGGAGGCAGGGCCGTCCTGAGACGACCTGCC